TGGTCTCAACCAGGTGTTTTGGTCTACAACTCCCAAAAATCCCAGCCTGTTTACCAGCTGTTAGGATTTCTGGGAGTTGAAGTCCAAAACATCTAGGGACCCACAGGTTGAGAACCACTGCCTTAAAATATGTTTCATAAGAAATAGAAGAACTGTGTCTCCATGAGTGGCATTGTTCTCTAAAAGATAGGGCATGTCTCATTTCGCTGGGAGATTCTGGTATGGCTTTTTAGCAGGTTTGAAGATTCTGGGAAATGACCCATCCAGAACAAACTGAGCAGGTTAATTGGAAAACTTGATTCATAGGGTGTGCTTACTGGTATTAAGTGGGATCTTGCAGCAAACCCAATCAAAATCCTATTGAAAGCAAATTGGACTCTACTGCCATCATTCAAAAAAAAATTGTCATGTCAGGAGCGACTTGAGAAACTGCTCCTATTTTTGAAAATTGTTAGCTCCAATGCAGCAAGAGAGATGTTCCCACGAAAGCAGGCCTACACACATGTGGCTTATGCAGATGTGCATATAGGTTACATTTGTAACTACCCCCGTTGATGTTTATCCCACTGGAGTTTGGAAATTCATGCCCCATTTGAACACAGGTGGAAAATTATGTGAAAACATTAACTCTTTTGGATTATATTCAGTTAGAATTGGTTTGGACCATAAGCTCTAAAGAACGCAGTGTTGTGGTTGTTGGTACAGTGTCCATATCCTCTCAAATACAAAGGAGTAGGTGAGGAAAGTGTAGTCTGGTCACTGCGCCCCATATACTCTCGCAGGCACAAAGGAATTTTGTCATGTTTTTAGGCCCTCTGCTCCATTTTAGTCCCTGAGAGGCACTTTTTCTTAACAGGAATTGAACTGGAAGTTGAATCATAACATTAATATGGTATGAATGTCATTAAAATGCAAATAGATATTTAAAATGATTGAATAGGCTACATGTATTACTATCTAGTGAGTCTAATTTTCCTAAGGCACCAGACTTCATCTTATTTAGTAAACCAAACAAGGCCAGCTCTGAATACTATGTGGATGGGAGACCACCTATGAATAGCAGGTGCTGAAAGCTCTATTTCAGGGGAAGTAACTGGCAAAATCATCACTGTGTATTTTGTTCCTATCATATGAAATTCATGGGGTTGCCATGAGTTGACAGGCAATTTGAAGGCACGTGCACACACAGAGGTACACAAGCACAAGTACCTTACCATATGAAGTTGAATTGATCTATAAATAAACAGTGCCATCATTCACTTAGTCTCGTGTCCCATAATACATCACTTTATACACTTTGCTCATCTTGTCAGACTCTTTTAACTTACTTTTTGTATGTGAAAAGAGGCTAAAAGCAATTTACTATTATTTCCATTGATGCTATTCTAGGCCTTCTGTAAATCATCAACACTTAATATCACAAGTGCTTTGCTTTGTTTCACTTGACCCCTGGGTTAAGGTTTCCTGGGGCTTTCCACCATGTGAATCTCGTTTGAATTGTAAAGCTAATTAAAGCCCTCATGTAATGGCTTTGAAAAACAAGGGTCCTGAGCATGGGATCCTTTCAGCCTCTCAGAATGAAAAATGCCTAATTGGAGAGGAGATGGGCTTCCCATCCAGTTTCAATTCAATTCAGAACACAATCCTGTCTTTAATAACATGGGCCTGCAAAATTGAGAGTCATAAAACCTTTTAAGGAATACATGCTGGGCTTTGGAAGTTGGCATTCAAAATCCAAAAAATGACTCAATTTGCTCCATCATGTACAGGTTTTTTTTCATAACTTACTTGAATATTTTTATTTTACAATATGTGCCTGGGTAAGAAGATGATGCTGTCAAGGTGATGCATGCCATATGCCAGCAAATATGGAAAACACAAGAATGGCCATCAGACTGGAAAAAATCAACTTATATCCCCATACCAAAAAAGGGAAATGCGAAAGACTGCTCAAACTTCCGTACAGTGGCCCTTATTTCTCATGCCAGTAAGGTAATGCTCAAGATCCTGCAAGGAAGACTCCAGCAATACATGGAGCGAGAGTTGCCAGATGTTCAAGCTGGGTTGAGAAAAGGTAGAGGAACGAGAGACCAAATTGCCAATATCCGCTGGATAATGGAGAAAGGCAGGGAGTTTCAGAAAAACATCTACTTCTGCTTCATTGACTATTCTAAAGCCTTTGACTGTGTGGATCATAATAAATTGTGGCAAGTCCTTGGTGGGATGGGCATACCAAGCCACCTTGTCTCTCTCCTGAGGAATCTGTACAAGGACAAGTAGCAACAGTAAGAACTGACCACGGAACAACAGACTGGTTCAAGATTGGGAAAGGCGTACGGCAAGGCTGCATACTCTCACCCAACCTTTTTAACTTGTATGCAGAACACATCATGCGATGTGCGGGGCTGGATGAATGCAAAGCTGGGGTGAAAATTGCTGGAAGAAACATTAACAACCTCAGATATGCAGATGACACCACTCTGATGGCCGAAAGCGAGGAGGAGCTGAGGAGCCTTCTAATCAAGGTGAAAGAAGAAAGCGCAAAAGCTGGGTTGCAGCTAAACGTAAAAAAAACCAAGATTATGGCAACAAGAATGATTGACAACTGGGAAAATAGAGGGAGAAAACGTGGAGGCCGTGACAGACTTTGTATTTCTAGGTGCAAAGATTACTGCAGATGCAGACTGTGGCCAGGAAATCAGAAGACGCTTACTTCTTGGGAGGAGAGCAATGTCCAGTCTCGATAAGATAGTAAAGAGTAGAGACATCAGACTGGCAACAAAGATCCGCCTAGTCAAAGCCATGGTATTCCCTGTAGTAACCTACGGATGTGAGAGCTGGACCTTAGGGAAGGCTGAGCGAAGGAAGATCGATGCTTTTGAACTGTGGTTGGAGGAAAGTTCTGAGAGTGCCTTGGACTGCGAGAAGATCCAACCAGTCCATCCTCCAGGAAATAAAACCCGACTGCTCACTGGAGGGAAGGATACTAGAGGCCAAGTGAAGTACTTTGGCCACATCATGAGAAGACAGGAAAGCTTAGAGAAGACAATGATGCTGGGGAAAATGGAAGGAAAAGGGAAGAGGGGCCGACCAAGGGCAAGATGAATGGATGGCATCCTTGAAGTGACTGGATTGACCTTGAAGGAGCTGGGGGTGGTGACGGCCGACAGGGAGCTCTGGCGTAGGCTGGTCCATGAGGTCACGAAGGGTCGGAGACAACTGAACGAATGAACAACAACAACAAAGATTTCTTTGGAGAGTAAAGAAGAAACAGTAAGAAAGGGGTTAAAGTCTTCTAATAGACTTTCAAAACACTTTAATTTGCCAAGATAGAACACAAAAAAATCCATTTGAAAGCACTAAAAGAATTCTCACCGGAACATCTGCATCCGCACTCAATTGAAATTGAGTAATAAGTGAAGTGATAAAAATATTGCATTTATGAAAGAACTATGTGTGGTATGACAAATTTATTGAGTTTTTTTCCAAATTCAACACCCAACATGCTTTAAAAGCAGTTAAAATTTTGATAAAAGGTTTTTCATTCCAGGGTTCTGATAATTTCCTCATTTCATTGTTGGTCCCAATTTGAGTAGAACAATTCAAACAATCGGATCTGACTCCAGACTAACCAACAGGAGAGCAGAGGACACAGTTGTCTGGATTTTTTTCCCTTTTGTCTGTAGTCTTTTGTGCCCAGTGGCAACTAGAAGAAGAGGAGAGGGAGTTTGCCCTGACTGCTACAGGAGCTTTTCTCCCTTTTGCTCTCTGATACTGGGAAATGGGCTTGGAATAGAGTTAGACAGAGCAGGAGGAGATGAAGGTGGAGAAGCACATACTCCAATGTCTCTTTCTTTTGTGTCATTTTTTACAATTGCAGGAAGACATCTTCACCTCCTCTTTTCTAGAGCAGAGAAAGTGAAATGAAACACATGCCTGTCCCTGTCATGTCTAATTTCGCTCTCAAGCTGTTTTGATTAGATTCGACTTTTCTGCCATTCAGTTCAATGTGTACTGTTACAAAATGCAAACTTAAGATTTTTGTTTTGTATTTCTTCCTGAGCTAATGCAACCCCCCTTAACAAGCTATCACATGAAAACTGTTGTCACTTAGAAGAGCAGGGTTTACTAAGGAAGAATATTACTTGTTATCTTCTGATGTTTAAGTTATTGACAATTTACACTTTTATTTTTTACTGTGGAGTAAAGTAGAATATTTTCAAGAAGACTGTTATCTTCTGATAATTATGTAATTGAGAATTTTTGTTACTGACAATTTTTAATATGGAGTGACAGAAAAATATGCATAATTTTTCTGAGCTTAAGATCTCCTGGGGAGGCCCTGCTCTTGGTTTCGCCTCTGTTGCCAGTGTGGGGATGAGAGACAGGGCCCTCCCATTGGTGGCTCCTTGGCTCCGGAACTCTCTTCCCAGTGACATTAGATCAATGCCTTCCCTCCTGGCCTTTAGAAAGAAAACAAAGACATAGTTGTGGGACCAAGCCTTTGGCCAGTAAAACAATGCCATGCAAAGAATAATTAGGAAATATGTGCAATGACAATCGGAACAGTTACGGTGTGCAATTTTTTGATCCTGTGATCTTAATATTTATATCAAGATGTTTTTAATGCTTTTTAAAAATATTTAAATGTTTATGACTTATATTTAATGGTTTTAATTATTTTAATTTATAGTTATATGTTAGTGTTTAGTTATTATGATTTTTCTTTTGACACGTATGTTGGCATTGAATTTTTGCCTTTAGTATGTTGTAAACTGCCTTGAGTCATCCGCCCATACCCAGGGGTGAGAAAGGTGGTATATAAATATAGTAAGTAAGTAAATAAATAATTTTTTGTTTCAAGATGATACTGATATTCATGAAGAGGGAAATATACTCAGATAGCATTTACTTTTGCATAATTCATAACCAAACCCAATTGTTTTGTTAAATAGGCCATAGATTAATATCTGATGTGCTGTTACTCCCACTCATCCCAGGTTTTGCCAGAAGAAGATGATTATGGATTTGAGATAGAAGAAAAGAACAAAATCATTGTGGTGAAGACTGTCCGCCGGGGCTCGCATGCAGAGGTGAGGTCTTCTGTTTTATATAGATTTGTTAGCATTAAGGGGAATGATCTTTGCAATGCCCCATCAGTAACACAAAGAAGTCCAATTTCATTGTAATGGCAACTGAAGATCTTCTTTAGTTGATCTTGCAATAAATTGCCTTTGTGTATTGAAAGCTTTCTGATTCCTTAATATAGTTTCTTGTATTAAGTGCCATGATAGCATTCTTGTACTCTGCCTTCTGGCCAGTGCAGCATGCAAGTTTATAGAACATTGAGCCAATCCAAAAACTCTTGTGTTCACATCATCATAATCTAAGAAGTGGCTGAGCCTTCTATTTTTCCTCCTGACAGATCTAAAAACTATTGATTGGAGGACAGGAAGGCTTTTAAGATCAAGAAAATAGAATATGATGAAAGAGGGTTAAAGACTTTAGTACCCACTTCTCCAAAGCAATTTCCTTGTTCAAATTAGTATCCCTTTATAACTACTTTGAAGTTAACAATTAAATGCTACAGGAAATCCTGACTCTGATCTCTAGTTAGGTAGTGTGTGAGGTTCACCTGCCAATATTAGATTGTCTGATTCCAGTTGTTACTTGTTTTTTATTTACTTAACGTGTCAGAAGGGAATTGAGAACACAGTTGTAATGTATGGAAAAACCACAAACAAAGTTTTAAAAACTTGGCATTATACTAGTTGCATAATGCACTAATGTAGCCCTTTGAATCAGTAAAATGTAGGTGTTGACATACCAAGTTCCCAATGTAAGTAAGCAGATGAACTCTGTCTCGAAATTACAATTACATTTAGTTGTAAGTGTGATGTAGTTGGACCACTGCTCTTTAGAACAGAGTTCAATTTGGGCATAGAAACCTACTGGGTTAAATATGGTTAAATATGGCAAGTCACGCTTTCTCAGCCTCAGAGAAAGCCCGAGTACACACTTACACACGACCAATGGATGAATCTTGCCAAGAAAACCCCATTATAGGTTGCAGACACACAGCAGCAATAAATCCACTGCTGGACATGGTGCATGTTTGTGGTTTAACAATCCTTGTGGTTTAACAGTTTTGGGAGAGAGAGGGCATCATCATTGAGATAAGGGGAAACCTCCAAGACATATGGGGAGTGTGCCTTTGACTAATATAAGTGTGACCTGGAGGCTTCCTTTTCTATTATCTTTACAGCTACTTTAATTTCTCTGTGTTCTTTGTCTGTTGCTAGAATGGAAATGTGTCTTGATTAGCATTCTTATGTATTTGTTTCTGTGATGCAGTTCCTTCTAGAGGTTAGCAAGGCCTGTGTAGAGCGTGATGTCCAGGGACAAGATGACTGGGGAATTCTGGAAGTAGTTATCCCCGAGCAGTAACTTTTCAAAATACTGCTTTTGCTAGATTCCCCATGTTTCTTCTTCATGCAGTTATTGGCAACTCCAATGTTGTCTGCTTAGATCAATGAAATATTTTATTAATATGGACCTCTCAGTAAGCAAGTGCCTTATAAATTATCTCCCTGTCCTTTCTTTGGACAAAGGCCTGTAGAATATTTTAGGGTTTTTTTTTTTTGAAAAAAGTATGTTTGTGTTTTGCAATTACTAAAATACACCATTTTCTGAGGAATCCTTATCTTGACTATCCAAGAAAAACTTGCTTTCACTCGTTTGATCTCAAAATATTGCTATGGACAGAAACCAAATACTAATTCTGATGTGTTGGAAGGCTGTCAGCTCATTTCAACTACATTTGAAACTGGGCAATAATACCTTTTATTGTAGTAAAATACTTTAATTGCAATTTGCTGCTATAGCGCTATTCAGCATAATATGGTTCAGAGACAAAGCAGCAGCTATAGACCATTTGGAAAAATCTTTGGTATAAATAGCTTGCTGTGGTATTAAATATGCAGTGATGGAACAAGGATATAAACTTTGGGTTTTGATATTTCTGGACTTTCATGTGAATAAGACCATCTGTAAACCAAACAAACAAACCCAGAAACAAAACAAAAAAACAACCATCCATCATTGTGGTCATCCAAATTATATCCCATAAGTAATAATGGCTTTGATTTTGTATAATTGTAGAAACAGAGAAAATTGTATTATGTCGGTTACAGTGGTCAATTTATTCTAGAGGTCTGATTGTTTTGCATTGTTCTAGTTTTGTTGGCTACAAGGCAGAGCACGACAACTTAAATCTCAGATAAGGAGATCTTCATTTTCTTCTGGCATCTTAGCATTTATCTGGCATTATCCCAGATTTTCAAGCACATCCCCATCAGGACTACAAATTTACTGTAAATTTTGATGAAAACTTAAATTCTCCAGAAATTTTAGTATGAATTTCCTGAGGAATTCTATACACACAACCATGAATATAAATAGATCCAAGGATTGTTTGCTTGTTTCATTCGAATCCTGCTCATTGACTCATTTTAAGAAACAAAAGAACAAATTTGTAAATCACTGTTTCATTATGTGGGATCTCAGAAGCTGACAGAGACATTTGAAACCTGTTTTATAAAATCTGTTTGGATAAAATCCATGATGATTGCTCACTTTCTATTTTTGTTTCTCTTCTTCCGAATGCATTCCCTCATGGAGCAAAAATGTATCTTGGGAACTGTATCCAACATGTCTCAGTCAATGCTTTGTTCTCGTCTACAAGCTCTAAATTTGTTAGGAACAAGTCAACATTTATATAAATACTATTTTTCTCCAAACATTTTGCTGATTTAAAAGGTCTGCCGTGACTTGCAGAGTTGCTGAATTAGTTCTGTGTGCCATCTTTCTGGTTTCCTTCCAAAACTATAAGGTGTACATGTATGTAGAAATTTCCTCCTTCAGCATTTTGATATCTAGACTATCTCTTTATTATTTAACCTCAGTGGCAATGGAGCAGTGTTTCTTGTCCTACACTATACTATGGTTTAAGAACAGTCAGAACAGCCATGCTGAATAAAAGACTATCTAATCCAGCATCCTGTTCACACAGCCTATAGGTTCCATATCAATGTAAATCATCATCATCTCATCTCACCTTCATCAATGTTGTCACCACCACCATTATTATCATCATCTTTAATTGTAGCATACCCCTCCAAAGCAGGGATTAAGGCAGTCTACAAATTAAAAGAAACATAGTACAGCCTCAATATCCACAGATTTGATATCCAGTTTCACTTACCCATGCTCCAAAAGTTATTTCTCCTCTAGAAGTGTCTCTGGGCCTCTCTAGATATTCCAATATTGTTTTATTGTATTCTTCTGGCCCATATATAATGAATATAAAGGGTTTACTATTATTCATGGCTTCAGGTATCCCGTAACATTAAGATATTATTAGAATGAATTTTAACTGCCAAAAAGGTAAAAACAATAGTGAAATAAGTTTCGAAACAGTACAATTAAAACTAGTGCAGCACCACATTGAGAATTCTTTCTTTGGAAGTTTGTGAAAACAATTGTAATGAAACAAATCTGTGTGTGTCAGTGAGAGAAGAGCAAGGAGAAACTCAGCCTAGTCCATGCATGGGCAAACTTTGACCCTCCAGGTATTTTGGACTTCCAACTCCCACAATTACTAACAGCCTTCTTTTTTCCACCTGAGGCTGTAATGAATTGTGGGAGTTGAAGTCCAAAACCCTTGGAGGGCCAAAGTTTGCCCATGCCTGCTTTAGTTTCTGTAGGAAGAAGCTTCCAGAGCCTAGGGTAGTCACCAAGGAGAATCTATCTCTTCTGCCTCAAGTTTTCTAGGAACCTATCTATCTAGCCATCCATCCATCCATCCATCTATCTATCTATCTATCTATTTATTTATTTGCAGTACTTATATTCCATCCTTCTCACCCTGCAGGGTGGATTACAATGCACATATACATGACAAACATTCAATGCCATAGACACACAACATATATAGACAAACACAGAGGTAATTTAACATTCCAGCTTCATGAGGGAATTCAGCCCACCGGGGGAGCTGTCTCTTCACCATCCACGTGTGACACTGAGTCCTTTAATGGAGTACTTCCTCATTCTTTTGTCCGCTACTGGAGATTTTTATGGCATCATAAATTAGTTAAATTAGCCTCTCCGCATAAGCGGTTCTTAAATTTCCTACTTGACCAATGCAATTGTCTTTCGGGCTGCAAAGGTTGACAGCAAGCTAGACAAATGGTCAGGAGCTTACTCCAACCTGGGCTGGCTTCAAACTCATGACCTTTTAGTCAGTGGTGATTTAATACAGCTGACTCCTAGCCAGCTGCTGACTCCTAAACAGCCCGGACCAATTTATACTGAAGGTAGTACATAGTCATTGTGACTGGTGTCTCTATCATGATGTCTTGTGCCAGGCAATTCTACAATGCCTTTTAGATACAAGAGTCACTTAGTCCTGGAATTCCTTCATTATCACATAACTGAATAAAAGAGAACATACTTTACCATGAACCCAGTAAGGCCTCTGTTTTTCAGGACTTCTTAACTTACTTGTACTAAATACAGTAGACTCTTGGTTAACTACAACTCAAGCAACCAGAACTCTCAAGCGACTGGCAAAGAAATTGAAGAAATAATACTTTAAATGAACAAGTAAACAAAAATATTGCAAGGCTTCTAGACACCACTTTAAAGCTTCTGCCAAAATGCACCAAGGAACAATTTTTTTCTTCCACCAACTTCTGCCTTTCTTAAGATTTCCATTTTGTGATGCTTAATAAAACATATTGAGGGAAGATGATAAGGCAAATTCTTCCCCCTTTTCCATTTTATGCATGCTTAGTAATAGATGTGGCCCACAGTCCCTTACCTCAGATAGCGAGAGAAGCATTGGCCTAGTATATATCCAGCTGGAACACCCAACTCTCCCTTTCAAGGAAGATTGATGATGGCAACAAAAGAGTCTTTCAGATAGCTTTGTTTCTTGAGAGGTTCTTGATCATCATCCATGGAACTCCAAACTGAAAACCATTTGTCCTGTGCCACATCGTGTCCAAATGATGAAGTATCAACAGTGTTCTCTAATCTCTAATGTGTCATTTCAGATGGCTGGCTTACAAGTTGGACGGAAAATTTATTCCATGAATGAGGATCTAGTATTCCTGCGTCCATTTCAAGAGGTGGAGACCATCTTAAACCAGTCTTTCTGCTCCAGGAGACCTCTTCGACTTCTTGTGGCAATGAAGTCTAAAGAGTAAGTTTTCTAAAATATATAGCCGTGTCTTTTGTTGATATTGCAGGCTTACTCTCAGCAGTTAACATGTCATTATGTGCTGAAAGCACCAGATCCTGTCTGACCTCAGAAGCTCAGCAGAGTTAGTTCTGGCTGGTGCTTGGAAGGGAGACTAGAGTGCTGTAGTCAATTGAAAGTCATGGCAAACCATCTTTGAAAAAAAACCTCACCAAGAAAACCCTATGATTGGTTCACCATAAATTGGAGTTATGTTGAAGGTATGCAACAACAAAAACTTGAACATGTGATGAAATGTTTCAGTTGGAACACAAAGCTTAGGTGTTTTACATCCTTATCATCTGGTTCTGCGTAATAAAAACTAGATATTAAAAACTAACTCAAGCCCTTCTTTTAACTGTAAAAAGACTATTTAGTATTTGTTTAATCAATTGGAAATAATTAATTCACCTCATGCAAATAATATTGACTTTGGAAATAATTAATTCACAGCATGGGTGGGAATTGTACAACTTATTTGTGCAGTGGTACAGATTTGGCCCTTTGATGAGACCCATGCAGTTATTGAGCTCCTTGGGAATCCTCTGAACCTCAGTGTGGAATTAGCTAAACCCCAACCCCTTTCCTTCTAGTTTTGAATGCTGGAAAAAGTACTGTGAATCACCAGGCTATTAAGCCAGCCAGAAATTGATTGGAAGTGACTTGTGGTTGTCTGGAATATAACTTCCAGTTGCTACTGGGAATGATACTGCAACCTGCTGAGAGTCTAGGAGGGCTAAAATTGACCTGTAAACTCAACATATGCCCATCTTGAGTTAAGAAAAGCATACATTCATCACTAATGAAAAATGCCCCAGTGTGACATTTTTGCTGGTGGACGAGAGGGCTAATTGGGTGCCTGCTTCATTCCAGGCTGTGTTTTTGGCTTGTTTTCTGGAACTATTTTGGTTTTTTTTCTGTCTGAGTTAGGATACTAGATGTTGGTTCATCTGTTTGACTTTAGTCATAGACCTTTCCCAATAGAATCCAAACTCAAGCCATTCCTGAGCTGTGGTAATGAATAGCTTACAACCAAATTCTGGTAATTTAACTATAAAGATCATTTTCTTCCCCCTCGACTGTCATGTTTATTTTTATTTTTTAAAGGATCATCAAAATCCCAGACTGCAGTGAAATGTTGTGTTTCCAGATACGAGGAGTTGCACCACCTTATGTTCATGCTGTAGGACGAGGTGAGAAAAGGGGAATGTGGCACAGAATGGATGATCTGCATACACAGTGCCTATGCTGATGGATGAGCGATATTTCTGCAAAACAGGAAGAACAGTGAAGTGGGTGGGGGATATGTGGCCTTCCAGATGCTTGTACTACCATTTCCAAAGGCAGCAAAGCTATTTTGGTTCATGGGGTACAAAATCCCATAAACCCCAGTCTAAATGCCATTTTAAAAGCAAAAGCAAGGATAACAAATTAAGTAGCTATTTATTTATCATGTCAGGGGCAGACCAAACAGTTGCATTGCATTTTTTTTAACAAACAAACAAAACACAAAGTTTGCAAGCTTGGAAGTTGATTAAATGTCCTTTGACCAGTAGCTGGCCACTTGGAGTGCCTCTGGTGTTGCCGCAAGAAGGTCCTCCATTGTGCATGTGACAGGGCTCAGGTTGCATTGCAGCAGGTGGTCTGTAGTTTGCTCTTCTCCACACTCGCATGTCATGGATTCCACTTTGTAGCCCCATTTCTTAAGGTTGGCTCTGCATCTCGTGGTGCCAGAGCGCAGTCTGTTCAGTGCCTTCCAAGTTGCCCAGTTTTCTGTGTGCCCAGGTATATAAGTAGCTAACAGCATCTATTTTCTACCTTCTTTTTTAAAGCCCTTCCCTCTACTACTTCCTCCATAATTCTTTGCTGATGATTTTACAACTTTATTTATTGCTAAAACTGAAACTATCAATTCTGATCATACTGTCCCTGGGGCTTTTTCATCAATAGTATATTATGTCTGTTTCTTATACATTTTATACTTTGTCCCTGTTTTATTAGATAAACACTTGAAAAAGATGATGTCTTCAAATATTTCTGCTGCTCTCTTGATTCTGCTCCTCCTCACTTCTGAATTACTGTTGTCTCTGCCATTCTCTTTACTCTTCTCTATATTATTAATCTGTCATTTCTTTCTGAGTGTAAACATGCTACAGTTTCTCCCGTTCTTAAGGCACATTCACTTGGTCCATCTTCTCTTTCTAATTACATATTACCCATTTTTTTCTTGCTTTTTCTTTTGGACGTTTTGGAATATGTTATTTAGGTATGTTGCCTCAACTTACTTTCTCGTATTTCTCTAATGGATCCTTTTCGATCTGGATTTCACCGTTTTCCTTCTGTGAAGACAGCTCTTACAAAGATCACAGATTATCTTTCCTTCTGGTCATGTCAAAATGCCTATTTTCAGTCCTTATTCTCCTTGATCTCTGTGCAGCCTTTGACACAGTTGATCATGTTTTTTTTGTTGGATTCACTTCATGACCTAAGGTTTCCTGATTCAGCCCTCAGATAGATTATATTTTGCCTCTCAGGTCGCTCATTTAATGTGGTAGCTTGAGGTCATGAATCTTGGGTGGGGTTCCACAGGGTTCTGTTTTGTTCCTTTGTTGTTTTCTCTATATACACTGTCTTTGGTTAATCTCATTAGTTTGTATGATTTTCCATATCATCTTCTGCTTAGGCTATATTGTTTTACTCCAGAATCTTTTGACGTTGAACATCATACTACAGCATATTTTTCAGCTGTCAGTATGGATGCTTCATCATCACCTAAAATCTACCATGGTGAAGACAGAACTCCTTCATTTTTTCCTACAATCTTCTTACAATATACATTCTATTTCACAGTTAATAATGTTGCATTATACCTTTGAAGGGTGCATACACTCTTGGCCTTATTTTTTACTTTTCTTTGTCTTTTGTTGCTCAGTGTTTTTTTTAAAAAATAATTGTGCCAAAATCAGGTCTTTTCTTTCTCTTTCCTCTGCTAACGCATTTCCTGCCTTCATCATTATAATCCTTATTTGATCTTCTGCTATCTCACCTAAGGCTCCTGCTTTCCATTCAATATTTTGCTGCTGTTGTTGTTCATTCGTTCAGTCGTCTCCGACTCTTCGTGACCTCATGGACCAGCCCACACCAGAGCTCTCTGTCGGCCGTCACCACCCCCAGCTCCTTCAAGGTCAGTCCAGTCACTTCAAGGATGCCATCCATCCATCTTGCCATTGGTCGGCCCCTCTTCCTTTTACCTTCCACTTTCCCCAGCATAATTGTCTTCTCTAGGCTTTGCTGTCTCCTCATGATGTGGCCAAAGTACTTCAACTTTGTCTCTAGTATCCTTCCCTCCAATGAGCAGTCGGGCTTTATTTCCTGGAGGATGGACTGGTTGGATCTTCTCGCAGTCCAAGGCACTCTCAGCAGTTTCCTGCAGCACCACAGCTCAAAAACATCTATCTTCCTTCGCTCAGCCTTCCCTAAGGTCCAGCTCTCACATCCGTAGGTTACTACAGGGAATACCATGGCTTTGACTATGCGGATCTTTGTTGCCAGTGTGATGTCTCTACTCTTTACTATTTTATCGAGACTGGACATTGCTCTCCTCTCAAGAAGTAAGCGTCTCCTGATTTCCTGGCCACAGTCTGCATCTGCAGTAATCTTTGCACTAGAAATACAAAGTCTGTCACGGCCTCCACATTTTCTCCCTCTATTTTCCAGTTGTCAATCATTCTTGTTGCCATAATCTTGGTTTTTTTTTACGTTTAGCTGCAACCCAGCTTTTGCGCTTTCTTCTTTCACCTTGATTAGAAGGCTCCTCAGCTCATTTTGCTGCTAAGATTAACTTATTGGCCTTCCATGTTGACCATGTTACCCCACTTTTGATAAATCTTCATTAATTACCCATTCTTTCTAGGATTTTGTGCAAGTGTCTTCTTTTTATCTTCAAAATCGCTAAACAGCCTAGCTCCCCACATCTTTCAGTCTTTATTTCTTTTTACAGCCCGCTCAAGTCTGGTAAACTCTTAGGCTTCTTATCCCAACAAGGGTTTTTTTCTTACTTGTATCAGTTTCATTGTTTTTCACTCTATGATTCATACTCTTGGAATTGCTACTTGAACATTTGTGTATTGCTCCTTCCCTTGTTATTTTTAAATCTCAATTTAAAATGTTCTTGCTTTGCAAAGCTTTTGAAATTTAAGGTTAATATTGCTTTATACTTTTGTATATTTTGGCTATCAGTTTTCTTTATATTGTGCTTTTTTATTCCATCTAGAAACTTGTTTTTACATAGCTTATTGTATTTCATGTTTTTATTATTCTTTCCTTATCTCTGTATGTTTATACATATCTGTTAGATTATACACCTTTGGCAGGACCACATTTTTGGCTGTTTTACTCGTAAAACACCATGTACATAAACAGTGCCATATAAATCAACAATAACATTATTTCTTATTCTTTCCTTACCTTTGTATGTGTGTACATATATTTTAGATTATATACCTTTGGGAGGGCTACATTTTTGGCTGTTTTACTCATAAAGCACCATGTACATAGACAGTGCTATATAAATTAACAACAACAATATTTCTCACTTGATGTTGTTACCTAATGGTAGGGCCAGCTTTGCACGCACTACTCCTGTGTTCAAAATCTGGTTTCCATCACCGGATTATCATATATTCTTAAGTCCTTTCTTGTCCATTTGTTAGGCTCTGAAGCAGCAGCTGTGGGGCTTCATCCAGGACAGTGTGTTCTGAAAGTGAATGGAAATAACATGATGAATGAAAACTACACTGAGGTTCTGGAGCATTTTACATCATATAGGAACAGACGACAGGAATTTCTGGTGAGCTCATGGGTGTGTAAAGCTGATTAGGGAGTTGGGTGTTTTCTTACAGTGACTGGGAGACATGGCAGGGGAGACCAAAAATATTTCATGCTGTTTTGAAACTAGGCTTCTGAATAAATCTGCTTTGAATTAATCCTGTCATGATCCAGGGAGGGTACTTAGTATTCATATAAAGCAGAGCAGCGTGAATTCCTGTCAGCCACAAGTAGTCCTATTCATACAGCATCAGATTGCTTTCCCCTTAGTTACTAGAAACAGCCCTAGTGATAAACAATAGAATTTGCTTTTTAAACACTCCTTCTTATAAAATCAATAGAATATTGTTGTTTTGCTGTTTGAAGGCAAAGCTTGGCTACTCACCATCCATTAGATCTTGGCTTGACTTTGAAATCTGCTGTCCTCTGCAGTGAAGTTGAGTGCAATTTATATTTCTTACTTATTGATTCCTCTCACTACACTCTTAAACCAAATTATCTCATAGATGGCTGATTCCGAAATGTTTTAACAAAGGGAATCCACTAATAAAATGTGATTCCTGTTCTTTTGTAGCGAATGATATAAAATCATGTGTCACTTGCAGTATATCCTTTTCACAGAGAGCTAAAGTCAGATGATCTATAAGATTTGACATATTTGGCGTTTGTAATTTAAGTAGCAGCCATAGGGCAGAGTGATGAGAGTTTGGAATTATGGGATGGCTGGAGAGATATTTAACCTTTTCCTGAAGGTCACATTCATTTCAAGAAGGAAGCTGCCATTGGTACCATTGGCCAGGATAACTAACCTCTTGAAATATAATAGTTTTAATAGGATCACAACCTAAAAAGAAAGGCTAGCTCAACCGTCTCATGCTTCATCATCCCACATTTGATGATCCTGCCCACTGTTTAAGAAAATAATACTAGTTTGGTCACAAGAACTTTCTTTCATTCACTCACAAGTACATGTGTGCATTGCCAGCATGCAAGGCTATGAGCTTGGGACCCTCAGTATACGGGATGTCACTTTAAATATTCTGCCAAAGTAGGAGGTAAAGCATCTAGACCTCTTAAAAGGTAAATCTTGAACAGAGAACAGAATCAGAATAGCTGTAGATGATGAATTTGGACTGCCTAGAGAGAAGGATTAGAGAATCAAAGGCAACAGTAACACGGAAACGTATGCATGGCTGCAGTGATACATTCTTAGGATTGTTTTTTACAAGGCAGCCCTTTTCAGTCTAGATCAGTGGTTCTCAACCTGTGGATCTAGATCGGTGGTTCTCAACCCTTTTCAGTCTAGAGCAGTGGTTCTCAACCTGCGGGTCCCCAGGTGTTTTGGCCTACGACTCTCAGCAATCCCAGCCATTTACCAGCTGTTAGGATTTCTGGAAGGTGAAGGCCAAAAATTTAGGGACCCACGGGTTGAAAACCACTGGTCTAGATCCTTCAAATGGAATATGACAATGGCAAATGACCGTGCTGACAGATGTAATCAGCAAATTTATCTGGATGACCAACTGGATCATTCTTTCAGGGTACCTTGCTAAAGCCAGTGCACAGTGTACCTCAACCAGTGTGACTCCCTAACATTACAATTTTCTTGAAAGGGTTTCTACCAGTGGGTTTACCGGACCTTTGAAGATGCTGAAGAGGACAGAGCTCAGCAGGCAGCTTCAAACTCATACCTGAATGGAAGTCATTCTGAGTCTTGTAAAGGAGAGCTCTCAATTGAAGAAAATGCTGATCTTGATCCTTTTAATGATAGCCAACAAGAAGAGGGTAAGAGAAAATCCCAAATCATTGCAACTAATTTGGCAGGTATGGTGACTTGGCCCAGGGGAGGTTGTTTGATATTAAATGTTTTTTTAAAAAAAAGTTTGCTGTGCATTTTTGTATACATTTTTATTCCAATTCCTCAAATAACTTTTTTTTTAAAAAAAATCACAGCACAAGCAGTTTTGAACAATTTTTCTAATACAACACATAACTCTATTACTTTCACCAAAAATATGTGTGTTTTGCACATTTCTCAGGACACTTATTTTTGTTCATTTTTCATTTTATTGGCAAACTGCCTTACAAAATTCAGAGAAGTGCAGATATTGCAGTACTGCTTTTCAGGTTGCATGTTCGTTTGGAAAGTGCTAACCATCCTTAGACAATATCTATTTGTAATTATTGAGTTATATATTATTATATATTATTATGTATAGCTGAATCATTTGATGCTTCAGAACAGGCACTATGGAGATGTGTTGGACCTTTCCCCAGCCAGTGCATCTGTGATCTGCTGCTTTATTAAGTAAAGTGTGTGGCACTGGCGGAGGAGTCTGCAAGGAAAGACACATGAAGTTTTTTCCCCCATTCTGCAGCTCCTTGATAACTCAAGAGCACCTTTAATGCCTCTCATACTACTGCAGGATAGGCAGAGTTATTCTCCAGAACACTGTGTCTGTTTGGATTGAACTTAGTCATGTGGTGCAGAAAAGTCTCCAGGCCTGCAGATGGGATGGTACAGGATAATTGACTTGGCAGCTGCAGATTCACACCACAAACCAACATAATTGCATAGCATCTTGGCTTGTGGTCAGCATATATCACACTGGGTAACCTTTTTTTCTTTACTAAATTGTGCCACGTAGGATGCCAGCTCAGTCAGCTGTGGCATGAGAAGGAACTGGCCAAAATGACAAAGGAGGAGGTTATCCAGGGTATATAGGTCCGATTTCATATTTCACATTTCACTTATGTGAGCTCATTCTAAAAGGAATTATGTTATACAGCAAACATGCATTCAGAAACCTTTAGAAGTGGGAATTTATTGAAGATTTACCTATTATTCTTTTCCATAATAGCACCATCTATTGCTTGGCCCATAGATTTAAATCAGTATGGGGTAAGCAAATGAGAAATGAAAGAGAGAGATAAGAAGAGAGTGTTGTTGATTTATTGAGGAAAAAGCTTTAAGTTCAGATCTCTAACCTTTCTGGTAACTGGTGAATTCAACATATCTTCATGCTTTAGCCTAATTTCAGAATATTTCGGAAGATATGAGGTACAGTATAGGATGTATACTGCATTTTATTTATTTATTTATTTGCTTACTTACTATATTTATACCCCACTCTTCTCACCCCAAAGAGGACTCAGAGTGGCTTACAAAGTATGGCAAAATTCAATGCCGCATTATACATAGAAATAAACAAAAATATCATTTCAAATTATAAAACAGTTAAAACACATAGGTAACTGTAACGCAAAGGTTTTCCCCTGACATTAAGTCCAGTCGTGTCCGACTCTGGTAGTTGGTGCTCATCTCCATTTCTAAACCAAAGACACCACCAAGGTCTGTGGCCGGCATGACTGCATGGAGCACTGTTACTTTCCCACTGGAGTGGCACCTATTGATCTACTCACATTTGGATGTTTTTGAACTGCTAGGTTGGCAGAAGCTGGGGCTGACAATGGAAGCTTATGCCGCTCATGCTGCTCCCCTGATTTGAACCTGCAACATTTTAGTCAACAAGTTTAGCAGCTCAGTGCTTTAACCCACTGTGCCACTGGGGGCTCCGTTAAAACATATACATGCAATGAAACAGATTAAAAACTTTTTGGAGTAGGGGCCTTTAAATGCAGAGCAGAAAAATCAGATTGTGATATCCACTCAGACATTCATTCAGGTGATTGGCTTATAATCTCAATTTCTTAAAACTAATTTCCATTACAGATTTATTGTGGAAATAAAATGGAGTGGGGTTGAGCTCCTTAACTGAATGGTGGAATACAAATTTAAATAGAAGTTACATGCTTTGAATTTGATACTAGGAGTTTGCAAGATAGGATACTAAGTTATTTTATGGCTATTCCCTCATGCCTCATATTGCCTATAACATCCTTTTGCAGAACATTTCAGGTTTTTCAAAATTGCTTTGATGTTTTCTAGCTGTAGGAAATACTATTGTCAGGATTTCAAGCAATTTTGTTGACTGAGCAGAAGGGAAGAGGGCTTTTAAAGTTCACCCGTCATACTCACATTTTAAAACCTCATGAATATTCATGTTTCCATTCTGTCATAAATTGGCTAGTTTTTCCCTTTAAATTCTTTCTTGTGTTTTCTAACACAAACAGCAATTTTCTGGAACACACATATTCCTAGGGGTTCTGACTATTTTTGGAATGGGAAGGAAATTGTTCATATCGTGGTGTCAGCCTATTTGAATATCAGTTTGTTTGAGCACTGTGTACATTAAATACTCTTGAGGTTATTCTTTATGAAGCTCAGAAATGCAGAGAGGACACCGGGATATTTAAATCAGTGACAGATGGAAGATAATTAACCTTCTCCTGATATTTGATGCAGCTAGTTCCAGACCTCCTCCCTCTACGAATACAAGCCCTTTTTGTATTGCTCCAAGGGTTCTGATAATGAGTTTATACTATTTAACAAACTATGGCTATTTTCCTTGTTTCTGGCTGTGCACTCTTATAATGATTAAACTTTTTCTTCCAGGTTTGACCCTTCAGACCTTCAGCTCTCCTCTGATAATCAAAGAAGACACTCCTCTTATCAGCTTAACAGTGGACAATGTCCACCTGGAACATGGTGTTGTGTATGAATACGTCAGCACTGCCGGGATCAAGTCCTTCGTCCTGGAGAAGATCATTGAGCCAAAGGGATGCTTCAATGTCACAGCAAAGGTTTATACTTTTCTACAATATACTGATCCGTACTTCATTTTCTCTCTCATCTCTCTAGGCTTATGACAGATAACATTTTTAAATGGAACAACACATTTTAATAAGAACATATAAGGACACTAATGTCATCAAAAGACTCCTCTGCTGGTGTGCTGGCAACATAATGCTTGCTTGTAAGATTTTCAGAAGTTACCAGAAGAGGAAAAGCATTCCAAACCTCCTCTCACTCCCACCACTGTCACAAGCACAGTTGGTGGGGACGAAGGAGGGGGTCTTTTTGGTGGTGCCCCCCCCGAACTTTGGAACAACCTCCCAAGGGAGATTAGGCAAGCCCCCACACTGCTCTCCTTTTGCAGGGATTTGAAAACCTGAATGCTTCATCTAGCATTTGAGAATGCCTAATCCCTAGTTATAAATGCCCTAGGTTGCCTGATAATATTTTGTTCTTTGCACTTTATCCAATGCCCTGGCCCTATGGTACACTGTTTGCACTATCCCATGCCTGGCCCTTTTATAGCCTAGACATGCTCACTGTATTACTGGTCATTAGTTTTTGTTTTGATTGAGTTTCAATGTTTTATTTAATTGTGTTTTTATCTAGGTTGTTATATTTTTCTATGCTCTTATTTTAATTGTGTTTTTTCCTTAATGGATTGTTTTGTATTTATGTCTTGTGGGTATTTTGTCCCATATGTAAGCAGCCCCGAGTCCCTTTGGGGAGATGGTGGCAGGGTATAACAATAGAGTTGTTGTTGTTGTTGTTAACTTCTGCAGGAGTGTAGATATGCACTATGCACCCTAAGAAGCATAGAACATGTTCACTTCATAGAACATGTACAGTCTTCTTGCATTTGCCTTTGAAGTTTGATGAGTCTTGCTTCATATTCACTAGGTTCATGTCAAGCATAATTATTGATTTTTCCTCCTTTAGATTTTAGAGGCATTTGCTACAGATGATAGCTACTTTGTGAGGAACTGCAGGAGGCTCATGTCCCTGAGCAATGCTGTGGTGAACATGCCACAGTATGAGTTCCGGCAGATTTGTGATACTAAACTTGAGAGCATTAGCAGAAGAGTTGCCTGCTATCAAGAGGTATGATAACATTTCTGACAATTTGTTGCCTTGCTAGTCTACAGAAAATAATTTCATATAGAATACTTTCCAACTCCCATTAAGGAGGATGATAGAGGATCTTGTGCATGACATTATTTTCAGGAAGATTGTAAATATCTGATTGTGAAATCATGTCTAGTCCTACAATTTATCTAAGTAAGGTAACATGTTCATGAAGTATATTTTGGGCTTCATTGAAAGGTAGAATATTCGGTAATGCTGCATTTTTACTGCTAGAGCCAAAGAAAAATATTTTACTCCCTTTAGTCAAGGTCATCTCTTTAGCATCAGTTGATGTGTATGAGCAGTAGGGACAAAAATAATTATTTGTCAGGAACCTTGCATACTCAAGAGATGTAATTCATTGACATATTTCATTTTGAAGGAAGCAATAAGTAATTTTAGCAATTTTCCTCCCCATTGTGAGAAAGGTTTCAACAACCACACTGTTTTCAAAGCCTATTAACAATTCAGAACTTCCTTTGTGCAAATTTCACTTGTTTTTTTTAAAATGTTGTTTCCTGTGTAGATAACGTTGTTTTCTATACAAATCAATGCATGCAATTTTTCAAAAACAAAATGATTCTCTCATTGTAGCATTTTTGGATACTAAACAGCTATTTTCTGCACAGGAAATGATCTTTCTGCAGATAAATATTGTTTCCTCTGGAGAAAAAGCTTTGTCTACACTGTGTTATATAGTGTTATCTCATTTTTAATTTCTCTTAGTCTCTGTGAGAATCTTGATTTCTTTGACAAACCAGATAGAAATTTGAAGAAATAGCAATTTTGTGAAAAATTGGAAACAGAACTTTGTTTTTCCATCTCAAGACCAGACTATTTATATGTTTGCATAAGTGTTTTTCATTCTCTAGTTTGTAGATGAGTTGAAAGCAAAGGTGAGCCCATCCTTCAAACGAGCTACAACAGATCTTCACTCCCTGAGTAGCATGGATTTTTGCCCCACCAACTGCCACATTAACCTCATGGAAGTGTCATATCCCAAAAACACTACCTCAATGGGAAGGTCATTCAGCATTCGTATTGGAAGGAAGCCTTCAATTATTGGACTTGATCCAGAACAAGGTACTCGCCAACTCTCAGAGTTATAATGTCACTTGATGTATAATATAGATCAAAGCCAAAGTCAAGAAGGCCAGACAAGCTTTCACACTTTCAGCTTGAACCAACTATTTCTATTTCATTTATCTTGGAGTAAAGATTTTCCATAGTCTAGAAAATAAATGAAGTACTTTTGACATACTCCATCAAATAAACAAATGCACTTCATCCTTATCACAATAAGGATATGTACTTGGTGGAAGAGGATGATCACCCTTGAGAGAAGTGTACAATTCTTGGGTCAAGAGTATTCAATTTTATTTTGTTTTTAGTAGAAGTGGCTAATTTTACAATAACTAATTGTTTCCAGCTATATTTGCAAAGCAGTTCAATAGATAGCATGCAGAAGTATTCAAAAGATCCTTTTTTTAAACATTGGTACTTTAAGAAATGAGCATTTGTTGATGTTCAACAGGAACCTTGAATCCAGTCTCATACACTCAGCATTGCATAACCACCATGGCTGCGCCATCATGGAGATGTTTGGTTCCAGAAAATGAGGATCTCACCCTGCATGGACAATATGATGGTTTCTATGGCCAAGAGAATGGAGGAGCAGCTCCAGAGGAAAGAGGTCTTGCCTTTTTGTTGAAGCAAGAGGATCGGGAGATACAAGACTCCTACTTGCAACTCTTCAACAAATTAGAAGTAGCAGTTAAGGAAATGAAGCAATACGTCTTTCAAATCAATAAGTGAGTTGATGTGCCTTTTGAACAGAACTGTATAGGAAAGTTTGGCTTGGAAGGCAGGTATTCAGATTATGCCATAGGTGAAATATTCCCAGGGTTTTAATTGACAAAAAGGAGAAAGGTAGAATCTGGCATTTCTTCTGGTTTCTGACGTCAAACCTTTCTGAACTATTGTCATTGACATTAACCATGGTTGATACCAACCAGGTTTTCTTTTGTTTTCTGGGGCAGTTCAGCAAGATCCTACCATCCTGATCATAGTCCAGGCTGGCTAGGAGGAAGAGGAGGAGGATCTTTACTTATACCTGCCTGTCACACCTCATCAGAATGCAAAGTGATTTATAGCTATGGTAATTGTAAGGCAGCAAGTTTAGGAACTCCAGTTTAGGCTTCACTAATTGGAAACCAGATTGAAACCTTCAATCTTTGGCTACCATGAACGCAGTTAAGATGTCAACACACACACACACACACACACACACACACACATATATAGATCTTACAGAAGAAGGTCATGTTAAAGGGCAGAAGAATTAGGAGGAGTCTAGCACCTGTTTTTGCATCTCATTATCAGATTTCAGTTGAATTGTTTGACTTGCTTTTCTTTCTTTCGCATTGAACTCTGAATGAATATGTTTCAAGTAAAATTCTTCACACTGCTATGAAATACTGTCTTAGGATGAACTGAGCTTTTAACTCTTTGGCTTGAATCAATTGTTGAAATCACCAGGTTGAAGCACAAATATGATCTTGATTACAGGTTATCAAATTCAGTACGTCTGAGAAAATTAGTAAGAGTTCGTGCTCAATGAGATCTCATTAAAGAATGCTAGTAAATAGGCAGTGAAAGACCCCCTACTGTTAGACAGTGATAGATACAGTTGTAATCTTGATTTCATGCCTTTTTAAATTTCAGCTGTTACATTTTACTTTGCTCTATAGGAAAGTAGAGCTATGCTTGTATAATTTATTACAGTGAATAGTTTTGATCTGAAATTCCTTACTGCATTTTCCCTGGGAAATATCTATAATCCTATTGTTGTTGTTACTCTACTGAAATGAAGTATATGTTTGGCTTCACTTAGACCTCTTTCCGTTGCTATTGATTTCCCTCTCAACATTAAAATTGACTATGTGTGTGTGTGTGTGTGTGTGTGTAATAAATCGGTTATTTAATCTATAATATCATCCTGACTATGTCTTTGCATTCTGAATTTTATCATTGTGCAACATTTGAAATCTATTAGAGATACACTCTTAACGATATATCCATGGAATAAGAGTCAGTTGAGGTGTCCACCATTCCTAATTAAATTATTTCTCATGAGAGACTAACCTGTCTATCCGCAGTACCATTTCTACCATTTCTACCTTACCTTGTCAGTACAAAATACCCAAGATTGCAAAGAATAAAAGTTTAACATAGTAACAATAAAAAAATAAAACAGCAATATTTGGCAATAAAAATAGAACTAAAACATCATTCATTGAATCCCTTTGGGAATAAAATTATTAAATTAATAACTAAAAATAAGTGAGTAGTCATCCAGCTAAATGTTTCTAGGAAGATAGTTCTACACCAGGGTCCCACCACAAAGTAAGTCCTATCTAAGCCGAAGGAATTGGTACCTGGTGTATAGTCTCTAATAAATATCTGTGTTTGCAGCAGAGATGTTATTTTAATTTCTGGAGCCTTTTGTGAATTTTTCTCACTAAAGTACCTTGTATATCCACAGGCTTTTATCAACCATTACTGAACCTACAGAAGCAGAATTAGTTGAGCCTCGCTCTACAGAAGGCGTACCCCCCACATCCTTGGTCACAGAGGACAATGATATTGACAAAACAGAGCATGGCATGAAGAAGGTTTGTTTCAAAGTAACTGAGGAGGACCAGGAAGACTCAGGACATGATACAATGAGCTACAGAGATTCCTACAGGTGAGCTTAGTCAAGGATGCTGTTTTAAAGCCATTTTGTTTGGATATTGGGAAGAATGGGGTCAATATTCACATGGGATCAAATAAGTACCCAGTTCCACAATAGGATGTTAAAATGTATGAAACCAGCTTGAGCATGCGCTTCAGGCTCATCATTTCCCATACTTGTGAAGTTGAATGGTTACATACCTATCAAAAGTGGACAAAATGAAAGTAAGAGACAGGTTTCTACATACTTAAGAAAATTGTTAGTTATTCTGACAGGTAAGTTTGCAAACTAAATGAGTTTTAAAAAAATGAAAATTGCCATAAAAATGCTGATGATGGATGAGTGCTACAGAACTGATTTCCCATTGTGTAATGATGTCCTCAACTTTGTTTAATTGTTGTTGTTGTTACTTTCTTTATAAATTGGAGCACATTGTTCAATTGTATTGTGGACTACTAGTGATCCTGTGAGCCTGATGTTAAGAAAAATAACCTCATGGAGACTCAGAGTTTTGTGTCTTTCTTACTATACTCTACTCCCTTCTCTATAGGTGTATATATGTACATTTTAAAAAGAGAGAGCTAATTTTCTTTATATGTGATTGCATTCTGTGATTCCAAGCCTGTCGCGTGTTTCTTATCCTATCCACGCAATCCATTTTCTCCCTCTACTATGGCATTCCTATCCACTGTGGGTGTTCATAGGCATCAGAGAATATATTGTAATACTAATCATCACACATAGATGTTACCTATGATGTGCTTTGCTTTGAGCACAGAGCAGTCCCTAATTTTATGTATTGTATATGCTCGAGTATTAGCATAGTTTTCAGCCCTTTTTTAGTGCTGAAAAAGCCCCCCTCGTCTTATACTTGGATGAGGGTCCTTGCAGGAAGATGTGGGGCTGAAAGAAGGGCTATTATATTCAGAAACCCACAGATAGTCGCTAGCATGCCACTTAGTAGGATTATGATTATTATAGTACAAAAAGTAACTTTTCCAAGTTGTGCTTAGGGCCTGATTCCCTTTCCAGCTGTACAGTAGCAATTGGCAATCAGACAGTGTGTTCTTAAACCAAGTCCTAATCATTGCTTGCACGGTATGAATTTAAGTGTATCCAGTCCAGAGTTCACAACAATTTGTCATGGTTCACATGTCTGTCACAGGATCAGCTTACAGCAGGGTCTCAGTGATCAGGCAGGTCAGGTGAGGTCAGAAAGGAGAATTTCCCCCTTTATCCAATGAAGCAGCTGGAAAGAGAGGATCTTTTGAGGGTTTTTTCAGAAGCACACACTGGTTAATTTGAGACTGGTTCAGCAGCTGTTGTTTGCAGAACTGATAATTTGTTGTCTTATGTGCACAAACAACTCATCCACAGAGAACACAGATAAATTGGACTTTAGAGTAAACGCTGTGCTGATGGTAGGATCTTTGCTTGATTCAAATCAACAGGCACCAGTAGTCTGAGGCATTTGGAAATAAACAAACTAGCCACAGCCCCAATGTTTGGGAAATCATGTAACCAGGAATTACAGAAATGCTTCTTTGGACTTTGTGGTTGTATGTTTTATGTGGAACAATTTCTGGGATGTACAATGTGTGACAGAGATAGAAGAGAATAGGATATACTGCTTTGGAAAGTGCTAGCAATCAGTCAACAGTTTCTTAGCTAACCAGTACCAAGACCTGCAAAAAGGACTTTACTGGGTGAGAACACTTGTTCTTTAGAGGGCAAAGAGTAATGGGTGAAAGAAGGCTCAGACCCTAAATTAGTGTTCTAACCCATAGGTGTAAAGGTATGGAAAAGCATGGTTGGGCCTAGGTAGAATGAGGCAGCTACTGTAGGCAACCGAATTGGGGTATTCAAAAAGAAAAAAAAAGGTAGAAGTGAATGGAAGTAATACAAAGAGTTCAGAGATCATATTTGGTTACATTTTCCTTTTGTGATTTCTTCCTTATCTACCTCGTGTTGATGGACTACAGCTCTCATAATTCTTCAACGTTGGCTGTGATTATTATTGGTGTTAAGCAGCATATACAGGGCCCACATGCCACCTGTTTTGTGTGTATGTGCCTTAAAATTGTTTGTTGATGTGGTGACTCCATCCAGTCATAGAGCTGGAAGGGACCACAAGGGTTGTCCTACTCAATTCCCTGCCATGCAGGAATCAAAACACTCCTGACAGATGGCCATATGCAGTCTCTGAAAACCTCCAAAGATGGAGAGTCCATAGGGTTTTCTTTAACAAGGTTGTTTTTCCAGTTCCTTTCACTGAAATATAGCCAGCAATGCCTGGTTTTCCTTGGCAGTCTCTCATCCATGTACTAACCCTGCTTAGCTTTCAAGAACAGACAAGATCTGATGCCTTTAGGGCAGGGGTTCTCAAACTAAGGCCCATGGGTCATTTACTCGGACCCTGGTCTAAACTTTAGACTTAGGATCATCCTAAGTCTGAAACTTCAAGTCACACAACAACAACAACAACAACAACCTGAATTAACTTGACTATCTGATCAGCCAAAAGCAGGCCCACCACTCCCATTGAAATACTGATAAGTTTATGTTGGTTAAAATTGTTCATCATTTTAAGTACTGTATTGTTCTTTCATGTTTTTTGCAGTACAAATAATATATCTGCAGTGTGCATAGGAATTTGTCCATGCTTTTCTCAAAATAGAGTCCGGCCCCTCATCAATCTGAGAGACAGTGAACCGGCCCTCAGCTTTAAAAGTTTGAGGACCCCTGCTTTAGGGTATATACAAGCAGTCCCAAGTTAGAACAAAATAGGTTCTGTTGGTTTGTTCTTCACCTCACTTTCTGTCCCTGTGATAATTGGATTTTGAAAAAATTGGCTTGTTGTGGAAACAAGGATTGGTGAGAAAGGTTCAGTGGAGACCCCTTTTCCCCATGATATCGGTAGATTTCTCTTATTCCCTGTTGTCTCACCTCCATTTTTAACTCTGAGTCATTTGTAAGTTGGATGTTTGTAACTCAGGACTGCCTTATACTCAAATGTCCCATTTAAATGACTGGTATTTGCTTATGAGTAGAGGCATATCAGGGCACAATGTTACTATGGTATTAATGCTGTCACTCATTTTGATATACAAAAGCAATTCAGAACTCATTATTAAATGTATACAATGGTTCACATGCAAGGCCAATCTCCAATTGCTGTTTATACTATAGCAATCATAGGGTAACATGCCCGAGCATAAGCTTCTGTGTTTTCTAAGATGCCTTAGCACTGATTTAAGGTAGCACTCTGCTTAAAGGGTTGTGCAGTCCAAGTCAACTGTCAAAAATACGTAAAATTTAAATTAAAAGGGAAAGAAAGCAAGACCCCTTTTATCTGATAACTTCTTATTTTGGAGTATTGCCCATCTAGGGATGATCATTCCTAAAGGTATCACCAGATATGCTAAAACATATATGCATTGTCCTTTATTTTTGTTTGAGGCATGATTATTTAGGCTGCCAATAAACCCAGGTGTTGTAGGCTGTAGGCTGTATTTCAGAGGAAGGAACTGGCAAATCCACCTACAAGTATTCCTTGACCAAGAAAAAGGTAATGGGATTGCCATAAATTGACAGGTGACTTGAAGACATGTACACACACATTTAGGTGGACTGGGTATTTCTCTTTTGTTGTTGGTCTTGTGGGAGCTGGAGCCTTGTGGGATCTGGAAGTCAATATAACAACAAAACAGAGAAACCTACTGAGTAGTAGCCAAGAGCTGTAGTTTGTAGAAAATCCCCAGCATGTTTTGCAATCTGCACATTAAATAAAATAGGCCATGGCAATCCAATTAGAAGCGCTATTTCCTCTCTTTTCTAAATTTAAACCACTGCTGTCAGGAGTTTAAGATTTCTAGTCACAGGAATTAATAGCATTTATTTTTTCTAAGAACTGAGTATTGAACAAATAGAAAAGCACATTTTTCATGGTTTGAAGACCAGATTTTGACACCATAGGAAGACTTTTTGCTGGGTGGTAGATTAGTCTGTTGGCAGTGTGACTCAATATAAACCCACATATACAGTGTGAAACACATGTCAGTGAAATATAAATAATTTTATTAATCATTTCATATGACTCTTATTTCCTCCGTGCATTTTGTTTAATGGGTTCTATAATTGCACCTAATTTATCCTGGATGATGCAGTGAGATCAAAGCCAGATTCCCAGATGAACTGTTGCTTGTTTTAGAATTTAGACAGAAATTAAAGATGAGAGAGACTGTTCTATATTATCTCCTTTAGAGTCAGACAGCATACATTACATGTATCATGGAAATTCAAGAATCAAATATTTTCTATTAGTTATTAGTTAGGGAATTGATGCCATTGGGGTTACAGGAATGAAAGAGAAGCAAAGAGAAGAGATGTTTGGCATTAGCCATGCTGTGTGGTAGGATCTATTTGACCACCTTTTTGCTTTTATAAGAGTTTATGTTTCCTTTCAGCAGTTCAAAACATGATGTATCAGAAATGAGGAGAAATAGATGCCATTGGCAACAGTATGACAAAAAGATTTGTGCTTGAAAAATGGCAATAGATATTTTTCTTCTCTCCTTATTTCTTTTTCTTATTTTAATAAAAGGGACAGTGTTTAAAAATCATGTACTTTCATAGCTCTATTAATAATAATAATAATAATAATAATAATAATAATAATAATATGTTCAAGAGTGATTAAAAACAGACAAAAGGTTTCCTCCATTCAAAAGGTTTTAGATTTTCATGAGTCTTTTTCCTAATAGAAGATGGTGAAATCTCACAATTCCCTGTAGAGTCATGCAAAAGCAAAATGCTGCAGCCTTTTCTCATTTGTACATTCATCCTCATTGTTTCTTTTGTCTTAATTCACACTTTGATGTTGCTTTGTTGCATGCTTCCTGGTTTTCATCTGTAAAATGTTGAAAACTCTAGAACAGTGGTTCCCAACCTTTTTTTTTTTACTAGGGACCACTTGACCAGGGACCACGTGATGAGGGACCCCTTTGACGAGGGACCACTCTCCAACATTATGACCAAAAGGGTTACAAAACAGTTTTTGGTCAACTTTAGATTCAGTTAGGGGTGCTGATTCAGAAAACTGCATTGGATAAACCACATCAGCTTTAATTTCTGAAACTGAGCACATGTCATGGTCAGTGACAGGGAAGGAGTGGCTGGTGGATGAAAGGAACTGAAATAAAATAAATTAAATCAAATAAATAGAGAAAGAAGAAGTTCACGGACCAGATTTTCGTCTTTGCAGCCCACTGGTGCTCCGTGGCCCACAGGTTAAGAACCATTGCTCTAGAAACATGAGTTAAATATTCATGTCTTGGACTTCCTGTGTAAAAACCTGAACAAGCTGCTGTCCCTTATACCAGAGAACGCTTCAGAGGTTAACATTATCTGAACTCCCATATTCATGCTGATTTATTGCTTTAACAATCAGTTCCACAGATTTTCTGGCTAGCTATTGCTCAGTGTTACATTTCAAAGATTCATCATTGATTGCCTGGCATTAAGTAATATCAAAGCACTGATTTCCAAGTCATGTAGGAATGACAGAGGTAGCATAACATGTAAAAAAAAACCCCCAACAATTTTTCCCTTTCTAAATTGCTGTGCTGCTTGATGTTAACAAGTATCCACAGAAGTGCACAACATTAAGATAAATAGAAAAGGTTAAAAGGTTTTGAATGAAAACTGGACTTTGAACAAAACTAAGCATCCAAATTAGCTATAAATTCTTCATGCTCCAGCATCATGAAAAATGGTGCTGGATTTCATTCTCAATTCACAGCCTTCTCCTTTTCCCTTTATCATCTTCAGTTGCTCCTGTGAACTCTGGAACAAAGAGTAATGTCCCAGTTCTGCAATCCATCTTCATCAGTGGAGAATGCTACTGGCTAGGACAAAGTTCAAAAGCCTTTTGACACAACAGCATAGTATTGTCTTACTGCACTAAATTAGGAGAGCCAATGTAAAGCAGATTACACACTTGAAGATAGGCAGGACAGAACTGGAAAAAATCCATGAACTTTCCCTCAAATGTGCTGAGCATTTTTGACATTCTGTTGCATTCCCTAGTATTTATGCATCCTTTCCCCTTTCTTTCAGTGAATGTAACAGTAACAGGGACTCGGTGCTTTCCTATACTAGTGTGCGGAGTAACAGCTCTTACCTGGGCAGTGATGAAATGGGATCAGGTGAGTGAATGTCATACTTCCAGGTGGATTCAAGCACTCATAGGCTGATAAGCAGATACTTGTCTATTATTCAGATGCTGATCTGTGTTTCCTTAGTGCTTCCTCTGCCACCAGCTTCCTTGTCAAAAATCCAAGGGCTGTTCATCACAGGACCAAAACTCATAATGGATTCCAGATTTACTCTAGGTTAAAAAAAAGATGAGGAGCAGATCTTTGCAGGGGTTGGGCCTGTGAGGATTGACACTCAGGACTGCCTTTTACAATTCTGAGGATCAGTCCCCACACTATCCCAGTTTTTTGGACTCTAGGAGCATGAAGCACTGGGATGGCACTGTCACCCTCCTTTCCCAGCCCCATGACAGGTTCTCTGTAGAAAAGGCCTGCTTCCATTTACAGGCCTCTCTGTTAAGTTCTTAAGGAAAATGGAGGGGGGGGGGGGGCTGGAGGATGGCTAGATTGCTTCCCAGGTCGATTCCTGATCAACCCGGAAGGGCATCTAGCTGCCACCCTCCACCAAAATTGTGGGATTTTGGCCTATCTGGAAGGGCCCTAAGTCAAATAGTTAATCTGGGTGGATAGGGAATCTTCCGAGGTCAGTTTGGCAATCACACCCTGAAAAGTGGGAAAGTGTCATGTAGAAGCAACCTAGTCTGGCCAACTCTGATAGTCAGTAACTCCCTAAGTTTCAGGAATATTCTACCTCTGTTAGCTTTGGTCCCTCGTTCAAGTACTTAGCTTCTGAAATAGATAAAATATGTTCAGATGGCTTGTTTGGCTATGACTTAAACTAGAGATGATAATCAGATCAATTGAGAAATGGTCACTACTGACAAGAAAAAGAAGGGATAATATTTGCTTCTACTTGACTGTTTCGCACATCTCCTGTTGAGCCATCTAGCATATCTATGCTTCCTTAGAAAGAGATCAAACCTGATAGCTCTACAAATGATGTAGACTTCATGGAAAAAGGGGAGGGTTCTGAAACGTGGAATATCATCAGTGATTTAAGGAGTGAAGGAAAGTAGTGGAAAAGCAAATATAAGAACTAAAACAACAAAGTCAGCGATAAAAGAACATGTCCAAGCTTCGTATTTTTTTTAATTAGGGGATGAACTTCCCAGTGACATGAGGATACCATCAGACAAACAAGACAAACTGCATGGCTGCCTTGAACATCTTTTTAATCAGGTAAGTGACCTGAACAGTTTACATGAAGAATAGTACATTCATCTATTACTTTGCCCCACACTCTCAGAGTACACCTTATTTTCCATGGTTAGCAAAACAACTTGGATTGTGGAGGAAGACTTGGAGACTAAGTTGAAGACATGTCCTGATGGAAGTCTGGAAAACCTATATATTATTTTGTTTAATCAGGACTTGGACCTTGTTAGCTAGAATGTCCCTGGAATATCACTGTCAGGGAACAAAGGCAATAGTTGTGTCTTGTTCACAAGAGCCTTTAAAGTTCATAAATCTATTTTCTCTGAACAAAACTGTGACTAGAGGTTGTAAAAACTACAACTCCCATATTATTAGGTATTATTATTATTATTATTATCTATCCCTTTTATCTTAATGAAACTAAATAGCAAATTTTGCATATTTGCTATTACTATTGGTGTTCCATTATTTTTGGTCAGCAGTTTTGGACTTTTTTTTGGGAAAGGAGAGTATAGTAAAAAAAAAGTGAATAATATTTCATGTTTGTCAGTCTTACTGGCAAACCTGCTATTCTTTAAATTCCTGTTTAACTGCATTTTTTATTCTGTTGAGTCAAAATTTTGCAATTCATCATCTGTGTTTTAGACCAGGACATGCAGCATTCTTTAGTCTTCTTTTGAAATGCCTGGAGAACTGTCAGAAGCAGTTAAAATATGGTCTTTTTGCAGGTGGATGCTATCAATGCCCTTCTGAAAGGACCAGTAATAAGCAAGGCCTTCGAAGAAACCAAACATTTTCCAATGGATCACAGTTTGCAAGGTAAACCCATTCCTATGTATCTAATCTATCTTGCTTGGATCCAGGAATGCTCTTCAGTGAAACAATATCTATTCTTTAAGCTATCAAAAGAACAACAGAAAAATTTGGAGTGAGGCAGAATCCAAGGCCTTTAAGAGAATTCATGTATCTGACACAGGTAACTTCAACTGAAGATGCATCATGGTTATCATCATTGTTTGGGTCCCAAAATGCCTGATTGAAAGGGAAGCTGCCCGTATAAGTCAACTTAGCAACTGGCAGCTAGGAAAAATTTGTTTCTTCTATTTCTGAATCATTATATTATAATATAGTAAAGATAATTAAGTCTAGTTGTGTCCTATTTTGAGGGGTGGTGCTCATCTCCATTTCTAAACCAAAGAGCTGGTGTTCTCCGTCGACACCTCCAAGGTCATGTGGCTGGCATGACTGCATGGAGCGCCGTTGCCTTCCTGCAGAAGAAGTACCTATTGATCTAATCACATTTGCACGTTTTCAAATGGCTAGGTTGGTAGGAGCTTGGGCTAACAGTCGGAGCTCACCCTGCTCCCCGAATTCGAACCATCAACCTTTCAGTCAGCAAGTTCAGCAGCTCAGTTGTTAAACCCACTGCACTACCGGGGGCTCCTAATATTGTAATATATCTACAATCAAAATGACAGTATTCTAATTAATTATCTCCTTTCAAACTACGTTTGTTCTGGCTATTGTGCTAGAATGTAGTTCATGGTTTATGGATGTGTGCTAACTAATGCTGCCACATTAACTGATTCAGTTCCATTGGGAATAGGACTGGTATCCTTCGCATTATGGTACTGGTAGCCAATACACATTTGCAAACTAAGAGCTGTGCTTGGCCTGACAGACTGCCCAGCATTCACTAAGGGAAATTTGCTCATCTGTCTCTTACTTATGAGAGAATAGGTTTGCGTATTCAAGTCAGTCTCCTCTCCCTTCCTTCAACCTTTCTCTGCAACAGACATAAAACAGATGTCCTGATCACATGTTACATTTCCTTTTCCTCTCTGCATCTCACTAGATTTATCTTTGCCATATTTCAAATGTTGTGGTTGGAATCCTTTTTTAACACTTACATTTGGTTTGATCCACAAATGTTGGTTTCCTTTGGTTTTTGTACATATAGAGGGTAAATAATTGCACTAACTTCCTAAATGCTGATTCTTCCAGGGGCTGATGTTCTATATTTTATTAATTTAGAGTGTTTTCCTATTCTGAATTACCAGTAGGACTATAAACAGGCTAGGCCTTGAATTTTAGATAGTATCTAACCGCTACATTGCTATTGCAAAAAAACAAAGCTTTGTTCCCCCCATTTTCCACCCATATAACTGAATTGCTCAGAGTTATTCTGCTCCTACAAGTGGTAGTCAGCTAATTAGTGTGTGATCAGGCAATCTCAAAAGTGTGGTATAATATTCTGTAATTCATTTTGGATTACACCTCATTACTGGAGACCTAAGAAGTGGAGAGCCATTAAACGAGTATGTCTGGTGGGGACTAGAGACAGGGCCTTCTCAGTGGTAGCCCCTCGGCTGTGGAATCCCCTTCCTACAGAAATTAGATCAGCCCCCTCCTGTTAGCATTTTGGAGGAAAGTGAAGACCTGGTTGTTTGAGCAGGCATTTGAATAGGCAGTGTAATGAATATAGGAATATGGAACCATGGATGATGAGACTGTATCTTGATTCTAACTATGAGACGCTAATGAGATGTTATATTGATGTTTAATTGATTGTTTATTACGCTATTGTTTGAATTGTTTTTAACTGTTTTATGATGTTTTGAGCATTGAATTTTGCTATTGTTAACCGCTTTGAGTTGCCCGAGGGCTGAGAAAAGCGGTATACAAATATAGTAAATAAATAAATAAACAAACAAACTAGGAGTTGAGAAAACATAACCCCCCGAATGCTGAATGGCATCTTCCAAGATCCCAACTAGCATTGCTGGTGATGTTCAGGAATACTGAGAGTTTTAACCTAACCAGGAGAACTGCTCATTCTTCAGGTCTGTACTACATTAATACTAAAAAATATCTTATTTCACAGTTACATTAGGTTTTAGTGCTTCTATTTGACTATTACGTTTTTTATTGCTGCTTGGGTTGCAGGTGATTTTCACTGAATAATAATAATAATAATAATAATAATAATAATAATAATAATATAATACACTTTATTTATACCCTGCCACCATCTCCCCAAATGGGACTCAGAGTGGCTAACATGAGACCAAGCCCAAAAATAATACAGCAAAGTAAGACACAAAATAACAGAAAAATTACATTACAGAATAAAAATTACAGAATAATGCCAACTCCCTATTAAAACTGGGTATTTTTTGTTCTTAAACATGACTTCTTGACTAAATCTTCCTTCATTGAGGAATGGGCTTGGTTAGGATGAACATAATAAAGCCTTGCTGTTTAGAATGATTGTGATGCTGCTTGATTGCTTGAACAAGACATCTCTCTTTTTCTACAGAATTTAAGCAGAAAGAGGAAACCACCATTCGAAGTAGGAACAAGATTCAGATCAGCATCCAAGAGGATCCATGGAATCTTCCGCTTCGTATTAAGAACCTTGTCGAGACCATACAAAAATATGTGGAAGGTTTGTGAATAGGGAACCTGGAAAAATACATTATTCAATAGAGCATTATAAATAATTTAATGAATAGGGATTGTGACTAACAATATCCAAGTTACAGTGAAAATTGACAAATATTGTGAAATTCTGCCAAAATGAATAAATGATGCTAAATTTTGGATTTAAAAGCATAGATAATTCAGGAAGGTGCCTTAAAGCTGAGTCACGCCAGTGGCCCATCTGGATTTGGAGCCAACAATGAGACAACTTCATCCACAACAACTGTACAGAAGGACTCCAAGGCTTGAGATGGGAATTTTTTCTAAACTTATATGTAGCTATCTGAGAATAAACCAGGGAATTTTTTCACATAAATAATGGGCTCTGCCACTGAAGAATGAAACCATTTGCATGTAATCTGAACTGGTTCTTAATGGCTTCACCTTTGCACAGACATAGGAGGATTGAAATTTCTCATGTGACAAGGAATATTGGGATATATTTGATGATAGATCTTTGGTCCTCTGGGCAATTTGAACAGAAGTCTAATGTGTTCCTTCCCATTAGAACATCCTGCAGCTCTTTGTTAGTACATATGAGCCCCTAAAGATTAAAGTACAATGATTCTTTAAATATATTGTGGGGGGACTTTCACACTGTCAAATTGACATAGAGTGTTTTGGTGTTTACTTAGTTGCCCCATTCATAGAATCATAGACCTGTTGTTTTTATTGGAGCCAGGGATCCCCCTCTCCCCCAACATTGGGGCTGACTGCTAGAACTAGTGATAAAATTTAAAATAGATGTACCTCTGAACTTATCGTTCTTATTGAGTAACACCACAACCAGCTCACTGGATTAAGAAGGAAAGGTTTCTAGATACAGTGTGTGATTTATAGGCCTGCTATAGTTCCAACACCTCTTACTAAAATTCAGCTGTAGCTTTAGTTAAGAATCATGTAATTATACATTAGTATTAAAATATTACTTATGTTCTTCTTTGCTTTCTAGATGGAAAGAATCAGCTTGTTTTGGCCTTGCTGAAATGCACAGGTAAAGTAGTCCTTGATGCTCTCTTTGGATAATCTCTTAAAACAACACATGGGAACAAACATACATTAGCAATAATAATTAAATTGCATGACTGTGTGAATGTAATTCCCTAACAGAATCTTGGTCCAGTGGTGACCATCTAAGGCAGGTCTATGTGACCCTTTTCTCCCTCAGACCCTTTTAAGGGCTACACAGATTTACAAAAATGCCTCCCCTCAGGCCCTAGAAATTACTTAAAGCCCACCTTTGGTTTTAAAAACTAACATTTATCAAGATCTGGCAATGCAGGAGGATTCTTCCAGATATTTAAAGGGTGAATTACGGCTCCTAGGGGGTTCTGGGATAGGTATTCATTTTCTATTTTGCCCAGAAAAGGTGTGGTTCATGAATGTGAGGGTGGGTGTATGCCCAAGCCTCTGCTGGTGTATTCCTTCTAATTATGTGGGATTCTTCTTTTTCCTAGATCCTGAACTGCAGTTGAGACGAGATGCAATTTTCTGCCAGGCCTTGGTGGCTGCCATCTGCACATTCTCTGAGCAGTTATTAGGAGCTCTGAACTACAGATACAACAACAATGGGGAGTATGAAGAGAGCAGCAGGGAAGCCAGCAAGAAGTGGCTAGAGCAGATAGCAGCCACTGGGGTGTTGCTCAACTACCAGTCCTTGCTCTCTCCAAGTGTGGTAAGCATGGATAGTGGTTTCCTCAAATGAAAACCAAAACAAGGAACTGCCCCAAAAACATTTTCTAAGGCTGGGAAAGTGAAACCTTTAAAACAAAATTATATCAATTCTTTCAAAATAACCATACTCCCCTGCTATTCTCCTGTTGTGATACGTGCCATCAATACCTCAGCCACATGAGTGGAGCCACATGCATGTTCTTCAACTGATTGGGCTTCCTGTGCAGAGCATACTGAACTAGATAAAGCATTGGAGTGACACAAGACAGGCAATGTCATGTATTCAAACTTTTTTCACCCCGTGTGATAGATTCACCTTAGGGCTGCCATAGATCAGAAATGGTGTGAAGGAACAACAATAACAGCAATAATTTGAGAGCAATGTGGTATAGCAGTTTGAGTGTTGGACTAAAACCCTGAGAGACCAGAGTTTGAAACCCCACTTGGTCTTGTGAAAATTCACAGGGTGATTGAGGGTAAGCAACACTCTCTTAGCCTTAGAGCAGTAGTTCTCAACCTGTGGGTCCTCATGTGTTTTAGCCTACAACTCCCAGAAATCCCAGACAGTTTACCAGCGGTCAGGATTTCTTGGAGTTGAAGGCAAAAACATCTGGGGACCCACAGGTTGATAACCACTACCTTAGAAGTAAGCAATAGCAATCTGCCTCTGAACTAATCTGAGACAGTCCTGTGATAGCTTTGTCAGGGTCACTGTAAGTCAGAAATGGCATGAAGGCACACAACAATATGATCATTGCCTCCTGCCAAAATGTTCTCTGCATATAGTTTTTATAGGGATGTGGGCAACTGAGAACCATTATTTTGCCCCTTGGTTTGAGGGTGATGGGAGGTCATGCAAGATGCTCCAAATTTTAGGACACAAAAACAAACCCCTAGAATAGTAACAGACAACCCCCCCCCCCCCAGATGTCCACTGTTGGCTCTGCAAAAAATAAAATAAAAAAATGAGCATGATAATTTTAAACAATGTGGGGTAGAAGGGGGCTGCAATCTATTTCAAAGCTAAATTACTTCCAGGAGGTACAGTTCATTTTGTGGAAATGAGGCAGGAACAAGGAGAGCTTTGAAAGTCACACAGATATTCTTGGGGGGGGGGGGAGTTCCTTTGTCCTCAGGGTTGCACTTTGCAATCACCTAAATTAAATGCTCTGGTCCTTATCTTATTGAAGTCAATCTTTCTTGGCTTCTACCCATCCTAGAAAGAAGTTTTTTTAAAAAGATGGACATTGTTATTTCCACATATAAGCTGGTCTCTGCCTGTTGGACTTAGAAATGGGTCTGAAATGTGCTGTAGAGGAGATTGTAGAAGCGACTGTGAATCGTGGTAATCTGTACTCTTCTGCCCTCTTCTGGGGAAATGTTATTTTTCTAGGACATGAATTATATTTAGGCTGTATAGGTGAACGGAAACCTGGTTAAACAAATGTTTAATGTTTGGGATGGAAGAATAATGTGTGTGGGTGGGATGTGTGTGGGATAAGGCAAAATTATATTTCTGTAGAGATGGATACTTCCTATTTTACCAAGATATTTCCTTCAAACAACTGTACTTTAAATGAAGTTTCCATGTTGCCTTGATTGCCATTTTCTTGGACCTCAAAATACATATAAAAAGTCTGCTCTGATTTTATGATTCAAATATGGAAGAAAGGAGATATATTGGCAAAAGTATACAGATAAGTGCATATATACCTGCTTGTGTACAAAAATAAATGTCTATGTGTGCATGCACACATATATTATGTTTAACTAATATCAGGTTTGATCAGGATTTTGTTGTAGTTCTTTTAACTTGGTTGGTGCTTGAATGGTTCATTTTAATGGATAGAGTTGACTGGACTATCAGCTTCATATCAACCAGTTGAATTTGGAAGGAAAAGGTAAAATAATATTACCAGCTAGAATTGCATCATAGGAGACATTTTCAGTTAAGATTCACATTGCCTAGATTCACATTGCATTGGAAGGAATCAACCATTTTTCCTACTGTTTTGCACATTTTGTAAAGAAGCATTTGTGTGTGGTATGAATGTATCCATCCTTGAACCCTATCCATGTTTTTCCATTTATTTTCCTCTCAGAAAGAGGAGCGGATCATGCTTGAAGATATTCAGGCCACCCTCTCAGAGCTGGACAAAGTCACTTTTTATTTCAAGCAACTGGATGAGTGTTTTGTAACAAGTAAGTCTATGCCTCATTTTCCTTTATTTTGTGGTATTTTTTGAGCATTGTTTAAATTTGGGGATGAGGAAATTTGAGCATGTGGGCCAAATGAGACCTGCTTCCTTATTTCACTTGCCTACTTCTTTGAAGCCGTTAGTTGCAGGCTTCTGTACAGCTCAGTACTGTTCTCCTCCACTTATTAAATGGGATAAGGACCAGGGTGCTGTCCAACAACCAACCAATAAACTTTATTATGTCTATGGCACAACATCCTGGGAAGGGAAAACACAGTTCCTTAGCAAAGCAATTATAAAAAACAGATTAGGAAACAGTTTGAAATTACAGTTTTAAAACACAGGATAATGTAGCAGGTATGGAACCATGGGGGGGGGGGGACTGATAGGAGGGGTCAAAGCACTGGGGGAGGGGGACTAAAGGGGACAGCAGTGGCACATTACAAGTCTAGTAGCATTTTAGCTGTAACAGGTTGCTCTAGTTGCATTCCTGACAGGGTGTTGCCTTGCAGGGTTGATCATCATCCGTCTAATTTTAAGTGCCGCAGCACAAAACTTAGCAACACTGTAAGTCAGTGGTTCTCAACCTGGGGTCCCCAGATGTTTTTGACCTTCAGCTCCCAGAAATCCTAACAGCTGGTAAACTGGCTGAGATTTCTGGGAGTTGTAGGCCAAAACACCTGGGGACCCACAGGTTGAGAACCACTGCTGTAAGTTATTGTTGTGCTAGAGTCCCAAAGCAGCAGGGTGGTATAATATTTTTCGGTGCACCATGGGTATTTTAGAAGCCGTAGTGTAATGCGATTAGTTCTAATGTCTCTGTAGAACATGCATTGAAGGCGCACATGCTCAATTGTTTCTATGTGTCCTGACTTGCAGGGGCATAATCTCTCCTTGAAGGGGGTCTTCTGGTACTTCCCCTTCAATATCATCGATGTCAAAAACTGAAAACAGTTGAAAAATGGAACCAAGTCCTTTTTTAGATTGCATATGCAAGACTGAGCACTAGATGATGCTAAGTTGGCCGAGAGAGCAGGGAAAGGCAGCACATGGTTGAAACAGCAAACTAAAGACTGATATAATTACATAGTTGTAATTATATCAATCAAAAGAGTGAGTCATTAGAAAGTGAGATGCTAAAAGATTAAGGAAGCCTATATTGTAGAGTTGTGAATTCTGACTCTGGGTTTTCAAAGACCTATGCAGGTGGTGAACTCTATTGCCCAAGTGTTCTGACCTGGAGCAACCTTATTAGAAGGTTTTCTTGGTAACTTTTTTATAGAGGAAGTTTGTCATCGCCTTCCTTTTAAGTTGGTATAGTGTGACTTAGCCAAGATCACCTAATGGGATTCTATGGTGAGAAAAGATTTGAATCCTGATCTACTACACCACTCTAGCTCTCCTCAAAGCACATGTTTTGTATTCCAAGATCACCTAATGGGTTGCTATGGTGAGAAAAGATTTGAACCCTGAGCTACTACAACACTCTAATTCTCCTCAAAGCATTTAGGACAGACTCACTGTCTTGGTGATAAGAAAACCACCAGTTGCCATGGATTAGTTGCCATAAGAAAGAAAGAAAGAAAGAAAGAAAGAAAGAAAGAAAGAAAGAAAGAAAGAAAGAAAGAAAGAAAGAAAGAAAGGAAGGGACCTAATTGATGGACTATTGATCCAATGCATGAAGTTTCTTTGTTACTATATCTCTGTTGCCTAGTGGAGTTTATTTCCAATTGTTTTGTCATTGTGTTTTTTCCAGTGTTTCTCTACGTGTAACATATGTGAATGTCTGTCTTTCTTTGTCCAGATACCCATGTTTTCTATCATGTTGAAGGAAATCGACAAGTTTTGAAGGTTATCTTCTACCTGGACAATTATTACTTTTCAAAACTGCCGTCCCGATTTCAGAATGGGGGAAGCCTGAAGCTGCATGCGGTGCTTTTTACAAAAGGTGCAGGTGAAATTGTTTTCTTTGGATTTTCAAAATGCTATTAGCTATGATGTAATTAGAGTAGACTGGGCTCTAATTGAGCCCTGTGTGATAGCAATAAACAATGTCCCCAGTTCATGGTCCTGTCAGAAATTATTAAACTGTGATACTGGTGAAGACAGAGGAAATTAAATTATAAAAATCAAGACAGGTAAAAGTAATTAGGAAAGTACTTTATGCAAAAAGTACAGGAGGAGGATAAGCATAAGGTCAACCACAGTGAATTGTTGATTGGGGGGGGGGTTGTTTTGTTTTTCAAGGCTGAGATAATATATCAGCTAGTGCCCCCCTGCCTTGTTGGATTATACTCCTCACCATACCCAATCAGTATGGTGACATGGATTACTTAGCTGGGAGATAATGAATGCTGATAATGAATGACAATTGCAAACTACTGTATGTGCAAAAATGTTGTGTGCACTCATATAGATTCATTTTGGAGATAGACAAAGAAAAACACATTTAACAAATACATACATTTTTCCATGCAAACTTTACAGCTCTTGAAAATCTGGAAGGCCAGACCCTACCCAGTGGTTTGTCTCTAGAAGAGTTTCAGCAGCAAATTAATTCCATGTCACTTGAGAAGGTGCAACAGTATTATCGCAAACTCAGGTAGGGTGACATTAAAGAAATTATATTTGTTAATAACCATTGGACAAAAAATTAAATGATATTTTTCAAAAAAAATCATTGTTCTGCTTTTGTTGAACCTTAGGAGTGGGGAAAAGAAAGAAGTATCAACAATCCTGCATTTTATGTTAAGAGAGCATCACGACTTCTCGAGCAGGCATGGGCAAACTTCAGCGCTCCAGGGCATTTTGGACTTCAACTCCCACAATTCCTAACACTGCAGGACCAAAGTTTGCCCATTCCTGGTCTACACTGACCATATAATGCAGTGTAGATGGGTCCTAAGAGCAACTGGCTGTTAGTAATTGTGGGAGTCGGAGTCCAAAACACCTGAAGGGCCAAAGTTTGCCCATGCCTCTCTAGAGGCTTCTGGAGGCTTCTGGCAGCAGCAAATTTTCCAGGGTTTTTTTTTTTTGTTGAAAGAAAATCTCAATGTGGAGGGAGTCCAGGGGCTGCATGAATAGACCAAGTCAGCTAAACCTCATGTCTTCTGCCAACTCAGGTTAAGATGTCCTTACAAAGCAGTACTTGAAACCAGGGTATGCTTCTGTTTTACAAGCAGAACAAAAATCAGATTCCCAGTGTGTATTTCATAGAAAATGATGGCTTACCATGCTAGGCTATATAATAGGAGGTGAGGGGAGGATGAGGAAGTGAAGAACATAGGTATGGTTTCCATTTCAACCAGTTCACATTGTTTTGTCACCCTGTAACAGATAAACATAGCTGGAGATCATATACACATCAATATTTTTTTTGTAAGCAAAGCTATGAAGAGGATTAATTTTTTCACTGCAAGCCAAGATTCTTGTAATTCTGACATATTTTTGTGAAAAGCAACTTAACGGACAATACGTGCTCAACCATTCACTAACTGATCCTTATTTCCTTGGAGATGAATCAAAAGAATTACTTGAAATGAACAAATTGCAAGCTACTACAGATTATTTAAGAGGCCGTGGTGGCACGGCAGGTTAAACCGCTGAAGTGCTGAACTTGTTGACCTCTAGGTCGGTGGTTTGAATCCTTGGGAAGGGGTGAGCTCCCGTTGTTAGCCCCAGCTTCTGCCAACCTAGCAGTTCAAATACATGCAAATGTGAGTAGATCAATAAGTACTGCTCTAGCTGGAAGTAACGACGCTCCATGCAGTAATGCTGGCCACATGGCCTCGGAGGTGTCTACGGACAATGCCGGTTCTTCAGCTTAGTAATGGAGAAGAGCACCAGCCTCCAGAGTTAGGTACGACTAGACTTAATGTTGACGGAAAACCTTTATTTTTACTTACTTATTATTTATTGGTTGTTTAATTTCAGGACATTTTACCTTGAGAGATCAAACTTGCCTACAGATTCTAATACCACAGCTGTGAAAATTGATCAGGTAGAGAAACTTTTATTTCATTTTACAAAGATATATGGTTGGGAAAATGGGGCTGAGTACCCTTGAGCTACGATAATAGTTTCTGATTGTGCTTTATCAGGTATAGGCCATCACTTGTAAAAGTTCAAATCAGACTTGATTGCGTATTCAGGCATCCTTACATCAATCTGGTGCCCTCCAGTTGTATTGAACCATATCTCCCCAATCAGTATAGCAATTTTGTTTGGGAATGTTATCCAACAAATCCTGGATGGCAACAAGTTAACAGGCAACTGCTATAGTGAATGATTATGTGGTGTAAGGGATTAGACTGGGCATAGTTGTCTGTGAGAAGAAAGAACAATAGGTAGAGAAGGCAGACATGATCCACTGATGCATTATTTGTATTCTTCTGCAGCTAATTCGCCCCATCAATGCTATGGATGAACTTTGCAGACTAATGAAATCTTTTGTCAGTATGAAAGGCAGCCAGTCTGGATATTCTAGCAGTTACATTGCAGGAGCTGGACTGCTACCTATATCCTCTGAACTCTGTTATCGTCTTGGAGCCTGCCAGCTTGTAATGTGTGGCACAGGGATGCAAAGGTGAGAGTTGTACACAAGATTTCCCTCTCTCGTGAATGTACTTTTTTGTGGACATAACTAAAGACCCAGAAGAAGGGTCCACAACACATGGTATTTATTTATTTATCATGTCAGAAGCAAATTGAAGGTACAGTTATAATGTATTTAAAACACAAAGTTAAAAACTTGCCATTATACTCAATGTCCTTTGACCAGAAGCTGGCCACTTGGAGTACCTCTGGTGTCGCTATAAGAAGGTCCTCCATTGTGCATGTGGCAGGGCTCAGACTGCATTGTAGTAAGGGTTCTGTGGTTTGCTCTTGAACACACTCACATGCTATAACGTCAGTAAGCAGGATGCTTTATCCCAGCTAGAATCCCAAGTTTGGGCAAAACACCTCCAGGAGTGGAAGATTATTTTCTCATCCCCCAAGTATGTGTGATTTGCAGAATATTATCAGGTCATGCAGGGGAATTCTGATTAAGATAACCTTCCTTTCCTGGAGGTGTTTTGCCAAAACTTGGGATTCTAGCTGGAGGTAAAGCATCCTGCTTACTGACTCTTCCACAGACTCTACTTTGTAGCCCCATTTCTGAAGATTAGTTCTGCATCTTGTGGTGCCAGAACGCAGTCTGTTCAACAAGTTGCCCAGTCTTCTGTATGCCCAGGGGGGAGTCTCTCATCCAGTATGAGCCATGGATTGAGGTTCCGGGTTTGTTAATGTCTCTGAAGATCTTAGGAAGCTATTTCTTGATTTAAGGCATTGGCTTTCTGGCTGTATCCGAACAGTGGATGGGCCAGAGATGTCAATGCCTCAGTCCTTTCATTACTGGACGCTACTTCCTGGTGGATGTCAGGTGGTGCAATACTGGCTAAACAGTATAGTTTTTCCAGTGATATGGGGTGTAAACATCCTGTGATAATGTGACATGTCTCATTAAGTGCTACATCCACTATTTTAATTTGGTGGGATGTATTCCACACTGGGTATGTGTATTCAGCAGTAGAGTAGCAAAGTGCAAGGACAGATGTCTTCAGTGTGCTTGGAAAGGTTTATACTTTTTGGACTAGACCTTCCAGGTGGGATTCTGTGAGTTTTAATTAAATAATGTTTCTAAGCTCTTCATGGCCATGGGCTATGTTATCCATTGCATCTTTATTTTATAGCTCCATCTACCCTTCTTGGTACAGAGTCAATTGCTGAAACCACAGCAGTCCACAGTGCTTTTTTCCTTTTTTTGTCCTTTTCTTTTGCGTCCAATACGAAAATTGATTTCCTGTCCAGTAGTCTCATATGGAATATGGTATACAAGGAACACTGTAGTTGCCACCAAGCTACAACTAGTGCAGCAGATGGTGATCCTGCCTGCAGGGATTGTCTTATGTCTTGAAGTTGTCCACCTCTGACCTAGAAGCAAACAATCTCCGGGCTGTACCATCTCAAATTAGTTTCTCATGCCAAAATTCCTAATTAGTAATGTAATCCTGCATTAATTTTGTTCCTCAAGAAAGCAATGTGTACATTTATTGGTTTTCTTACTCCTTCAAGAAAACCTTCAAAAACTGTACAGATTTCAAGAACTGTTTGCAGTTTGGTACTTAATTTCCATATGGTTTTCTGTGCAGGAAGCATAATTCTCTGCACTATATCTGGTGTGTAGTGTTGCAGTTTAAGCCAGTTGACATGACTTTTCCTAATGCAGAAGTTTTTGTGTTCTCTTTACAGAAGTACATTGAGTGTTTCCTTGGAACAAACAGCTATACTGGCTCGAAGTCATGGGCTCTTGCCTAAGTGTATCATGCAGGCCACAGACATAATGAGAAAACAAGTAAGTATTAGCGAAGGATACAATAAGCCACACCAGCAAATATAAATGTTGCAAATCGTACAGTTTTTTAAATTGCAAGCAAGATATGAAGTTAGTAAGTGTGCTCAGGCTCCCGGGTTTTATATGCAAACTATATCACATACTGCAGCCGAAAAGAAGTAGGAAAATATGCCTATGTCAAATACTAACCATTCTGCTGAATATATGGATAAAATATAAGTATGTAAACATGCATTTTAAGCAATATATTTGTAGAAAAATCTCTATGCATAATGTACATACAGTATGACCCCTCTTATTTTCAGAGGACAACTCCTTGAACTTACCAAAAGGAAACCATGGTTAATAGCAAACTTGATTGAAATGAACAACTTCTGCCAAAAGTGACCAAATATTTTTTCTTGGGGCACCTAGAAAATTCCCAGAGAGGAATACTTTGCATCCTTTTATGCTGTTGGGAGAAGCACTTTGGGATTCCTTTCATCTTAAGTAAACACAGATGACTGATGTACCACCTGAGTGCATTCTAAAACCATTAACAGAAGTTAATGGGTTTTCAAATACAAATCATGTATTTCTCTTTTTGCATTAGTGCTTTACTTCTAGTACTGCCAATACCATTCAATCTTGTTTTTCCTTAGGGACCAAGGGTTGAAATCTCTGCAAAAAATCTGAAAGTGATGGATCAGATGCCACAGTCTGCGCCGCGGTAGGTGACTGCCTACAGCTGGAACTTCTCCTGAAATGCATTTCAGCATTACACTCTCTCTCACACACATACACATACATACACACACATCAAGCCAGCCTTTTTCTGTACTCATAAATGCCAGCAGTTTGTTTATAAGCTGTTCTTCTGTCATTCCGCACTAAGCCCTTTGGGGATGCTGTTTTTTTGTTTTTGGGTTTGTTTTTTTGTTTTTTTTTTCCACAAAAGAGACTAGTTTTCATGCAACTTTCAGGGTATTATCAGTTGCTGAAAGAGTGCTGACTGTCTGGTTTACCAATCAAACAGCTAATAAGCAAAGTTAATTCCTTCACTAATGCTTTGGCTGTGAACTATAACTGGAGTGGGCATTTCTCAGTGTTCCAAGGACCATTTAACCCTCCCTTTTGAAAGTGTTTTCCCTAGAAACAAAGGGTGTGTAGCTTACATGCCTTGTTTTGAAGGCTAGTATCACTTTTAGAACCTTAGATGTAAGATAGAACACCTTGTCTTCAATACAAAAGAATCCGTTTTTGGTGAATTTGATGGTAGAGGGTGGGAGGAATTATTGAGAAGTGGCTACAAAACCAATGGGGGCATATTTTTGGGTTTTGCCATTTCCTGTCTGCACCTAGCTTATAAGAAGTATTTAACTTTTTTTAATCATTGTAATGCTATATGCTGAAATGGGTTTTAGTTAATGAACAGCACAAAAATTTAGTGATTACCCTAAATGAACACTCTCAGCTTACCAGCTTTGGCACCCTCCTTGACACTTTCATTGATTCCTCAGGCTTACCAATTATGTGGCTGATGATTCTGGCTAGACTATTTCTGTTTATCTGCCTTTATTGGGTCTGTGGGCACAGAGCAGCACTAACCTAATACTTAAAACAGGTGTGTTGTGACACATCTTAAGTGCTGGCCAGAACTGTGGGTCTTAGTTTAATCTTGGCAATACATATACCAACATTGTTTGTTGAGATGTTGGCTTTAATTTGTTTTATATCAGGATAGTATGCAAGTGAAGTGAAGGAACTAAATAGTAGACCATTGAAAAACTCATGTTGACTCTGTTCTCATTCCAAAGACTTTGGAGAGGAGGTACAAACCCTTATGGTTTTTGAAAATGTCCCTTTCATATTAATAGTTTTTGTCAAAGTCAGACATAAAACCCAATTTGGTTTTTGAAACTTTTTTCTTCCATTTCTTTTCTTTTTGGTACATATTTTGGCATACAACAAAAAGTGTTGTTTAAAGAGTCCTCACCTTAGAGGCTGCCTTGCACACAGAGAATCCCTGCATCATCTAAAATGCCAGAAGTAGGAAAGACTTCCAACTCAATCTGTCGAACGCTTCAGCCATTTGGATGAATAGTGGCATTACTTGGCTGGATGGATCTTTGGTCTCTAAGCTCTAGACATCTTGATATATTCATACCATGGGGCATTTATGAGGGAGTTGAGGGTTAATGATAACAATAACAATTCCAGTACTCTATGGCAAATGACTTATTTATCCATTCCTTTGGTGGAGATCATTTGAAACATTTCCAGTTACTTTATTGTGCTCTTTTGCCACTACCATTGCCTTCTTCACATTAACCTTTACTATCAACCTTTTGCAGAATCTATCGGCTCTGTCAACCACCTGCAGATGGAGATTTATAAAAGTGAAGGAAATTTCTTCCCGAGTCCTGGCTGTGTTCAGCAGAGTGTGATGCTACCTGAGCACTGACCCTCTCTGATGCCGGTGGAGTTCAGTTCAGAAGAGAGAGGAGATTGCTGGGTTCTGTGTTTCTTGAGAGATCTGTGCATTAAGAGACTACCTTTTCCACTCATCTCTACTGAATTATGTGGGTGGGCATGGGTACAATTTCTGGGTTGGCTGAAGAGGGTCTCAAGAACAATCCTCTCCAGTTTGCATTGAGAAATTACGTTCTGCCCCAGATCAGGAAGGGTGAAGACAGTCACAGCAGATGGAAAACAAAAACCCTACAATGTTAGGAATTAACTGGATTGATAGCTGGGCATGGTGGATTTTGACTTTTTGATGAGCAAAGGAAATTCAACATGAAGAGTATCTTCTTATCCAAGTGTTTTTGGAATTTCATCCCATTTCCAATGCAGTGTTGGCCAGTGGCCTTGAATAAGAGCCTCAGAAACATTCTTTGTATATACATACCCCCTTGCACTTTGAAATCGTGAATAGTAACGCATCTTTGGTTTCATCAAAGGAGTCTTCCTGGAGCTGTTTTCCACTTCATCTCAATATAAACCAAACTTCATTCTTCAGAGTGTACATTCCATGGGACTTTATACAAGACTGTCTTTTTAACTTTGACTGTAAAGTTCAGGGTTTGCAATTAACACTTTTTGAACTAATGGTCCATTGTGTACTATTTTCAAGGAGGAGGTGACAATAAAGGATATTTTTTAAGAAAAAGGAGAATGACATTATGAAAGAGGAAGCAAAGCAGTTCTGTGCTCCTACAATTTGAACAGATGAGACTTTAAAAAAATAAGGACAGAACTATCCTTATTTATCAGGAATGGAAGATCTGTTGGAAGCTGTTGCAATCTATATGAGAAAAAGAGTAGTTTTTTTTTCCAAATGGGGCCAATATGCTAGCAGATGCATAGTATTTCTCTGTTCATTGAAAATAATGTCACGTTATTTAAAGCCTTTCAGTATTTAAGTAACCTTTAATAAGTGTTATTTTTTAAAGAATTAGAGTACAGTGGGTTATAAGTTAAAATTGTGGTTGTATATATAATGTTTTCTGTTGTATCAGTATTATTACAAGCACAGGTAGTTTGTTTCTAAATTACTTGCTGCAAAAGTAACGAAGTATATCAACAATCTCAGGCAGGAAATAACATTATTTTGGAGTGAGTGCCTTAAATGACTTATCCATGTTCTTCAAGGAAAAACAATAACAATAAGGGACATGAAAAACCTGTCTTCTTTATCATAGTAGATTAAAGCCATAGTCTCCTCTCAAATGCCTATTCTTGGGCATTATATAAGTTCTTTATGCTTTCTTTATCTAGCAATTGGAAGAGGAATATTTTAATTTTGGCTTCAAATAGGTCATTTAATAAACTCCGATCTTTCCTAACAATTCAATCCTTCTTCTCTTGTCATGCTTTAAAATGTTTTCTTCCTGCTTTTGCTATCAATGGCAATTTCTTTAACTTGACCTTTATAAACTCTGGGAAAGGAAGGCAGTAATGTAAACATTATCTGATAACTGAGCATATTTGAGGCATTGGCTTGGGCATAAATCTCATTTATTGCAGAACTGTATATTTAAATAGAGTGGTTTTTTAATAAATGACCAGCAGATGGCAGCCTTGGATTTGCCAATTGAAATAGCTGTGGTCCAAAAACCATAAGGTCCCATGCTAGAGATCTTATATTTCTGTATACCAGTTTTCAGGAACATAACTGGGAGGATGCTGTTGCACTCATGTCCTGTATATGAGCTTCCCATAGGCACCAGTGGTTAGCCAGTGTGTGAACATAATGTTGGGCTTTGAACTTTTTGCCTCAGACAATGGAAAAGAGGATACCTGTTTCCCTTGTCATCTACAGAAGCTGGAAAGACTGAAATATTAGCTTTTCTTGAAAACTGCCACAGAACAATATTTTCTCTCTGAGGATGACAAGCTTGCTTAGAATGTATGGGGCTGGCCATGTGACACACCGAGATCTGTCCTCCAATATCTTGCTGCTTCCACTAGTCTCTAATATCTTAAAGTGACCACCTGAAGTATCCACCTCCTATTGCCCAACTATAGACTAGCTCCATAAGCCAGACCATTCTGCTTGGATACTGTCCCAATGTCTTCATCACTGGGGAATGTTTTGAGAAATATAATCTGCATACATTCAGCACAATTGCAGCGTACTTGGTGGGGTCTCCAAAGGCATATAGGAATTACATTCTGAGGGTTGTAAAACTCCAGGGCAACAATGAGGACCACTGTATAATGCAAGGTGGGGAGTTATCTGTGTAGCAAAAGTAGAATTTACACTGTCACCTCAATTCTTCAAAGGTGCTGTAGCACATGACTTAGCCAGAGAATTAACACCCAAGTGAGGATCTTGGTGCATTCTCTTTGAGCCTCCCATGGGTATTTTTTGTCCAGGACTCAATATTTTCAGCACCAATCCTGCTTGTGTTTTTATGATGTGCACGAAATGCAATTGAAAAATCCTTGGGTCCAGCATTGAAGTGCCAGTGTGCTGCAATACTCTTAGTGCTGAACTGGGACTCCACTGCTCAACCATAGAAACCCTCATGAATGTCCTTGAGCAAATCACACTCTCTTGGCTACAAAAGAGGATGTTGGAAAACCTTCTCAGAATGAATTGTGCTGATAATATTAGTGTTGCCCTAGGTCAGAAACAATTTGAAAGTACACAACAACTACTGATGGAAAAACTAGCTATACAGACTTTCTCCCCATCTCTTTCCTGTTTTTCTGGGCTTGTTGCAAATAAGAGAAAGTAGCTTTTTTGAGGAACAAGATGCATGGTGTTTTCTTATAAAGCAGAAACAAAACGATCAGCAATGTAAAAAAACAAAAAACCCAAACGATGTTGATGTACTGTGTATCTGAAAAGTACAAGGTCATTGGGAATGCATATCAAGTAGCATTCTATTATTTTCCACAGTGCTAATACTAATGGATTGACTTCTTAGTTATTACATATATGTGTCTTATGGTAAGACAAAGACTTTCATAATTTGTTGGCATCTAACCAATTTCACTCCATGAATAGTCAATTAAGGTTCACTTTGGTGGTCTGCAGTTGCTCTTTCAGAACTAGCCATACTCAGAAGACCTACATTGCAAAGAGTTTTTCTAGTCAACTCTCAAACTGAGAGAGTTCAAAAAGAGGGTTCCTACAGAATTATCCATTTTAAGATTTCATCCCCCTTTCCCATGTTTTGACACCTTCATTGTTTTATTAGCATGACGAAAAGACAAACCCGTTTCTCTGCACTCTTGTCAAAATCTCAGGCCTCTCTATGTGGGAGGAGGCAAATTATGTGGGAGAGAAAAAACATTAGAAACATGTGTGGAAGAACCCAACAGAATAGTATGGATGGCTGAAAACAGATATGATTAATTAAAAACTAGCTGTGTTTCAATCACACAGTGATTCCTCATCTCTACAGTTTTCTGTTCTAAATCTGGTTCTGAGGTTGTGCTACTGGGAATCTGAGCTTTATTTATACACCCAATTCAATCAGGGTTTCAAGTATCTATACTGCAGCAAAAAGAATCCTTTGGGTGACTTGCCCAGAGAAGCCTACATGCTACAAAAAGCCTTTTTCTCTAGAATGGGGAGGGGGCACCACATTTGCTATCCATACATTGTTCCATCACCAAATCTGTCACCCGGTGTGCACAGAGTGTATCTTTCTCAAAGCAAGAAGCGGGCTTTCTGTGTAAAGTTGAAACTCAGATTGAGAACTTCCTCAGGTAGCTGCTCAATTTCATTTTTTGGAAAATTGACCTTCACATATAGAAGGCTGTTTGCAAGTGGTGCTCATTCACTCTCCTTCTCTCTCTTTTTATCCTATCAAATTGTAACATATCCTAAAAAGGGCCAGGTTTGCACATATTCTGGCTTCTGTCATCCCGAGAGCCAGGATGGTACAATGGCTTAAGCTCCAGGCTATGACTCTGGAGACCAGGGTTCAAATTTCCATTCAGACATGGTGACCTTGGCAAGTCTGACTCATCTCAGTGCAATTGTCTAAAGATTCTGAACAATTATTGCGAGGAAAAATCCCATGATGTCGTAAATAGTAAAAAAAATTCAAGGCACAAAACAACTACAATGTCATCTCCATGCATCTCGGGTGAATGGAGCTCCCGATGGTGCAATGAGTGAAATCTTTGTGTCAGCAGGGCTGCTGACCAACAGGTCAGCCATTCGAATCCAGGGAGAGTGGGTTGAGCTCCCTCTGTCAGCTCCAGCTTCCCATGCAAGGACACGAGAGAAGCCTCCCACAAGGATGGTAAAACATCAAAACATCCAGGTGTCCCCTGGGCAACATCCTTACAGATGGCCAATTCTCTCACACCAGAAGCAACTTACAGTTTTTCAAGTCGCTCCTGATATGAAAAAAAAATCTTAGGTGAAAGTCTCAACAACTAAATATACAGCTAAACATGGGGTTCCAATCAGTGTTCTTGTGATATCTAGCATTGTTGTTGCAAAACAAACAATGTGATTTGAATAAGCAGGCACAATTTCAGCATTACAAATGTAATCCTACCACAGCTATTTATTTTCATGCTGGTGTCAGGTTCCTGATTGTTTGTATTTCTTTGTTTTATGTGATTTTATTTTTTGAAGGAGGCATTCATCATGTCCCGTTTCAGCTCAGTATTGCATGCTAATCTCTAGACAATATTCATTTTCCTTTCAATTTATTGTGATCAGTTGCTGGAGGAAGGGGGCAAATGAATCCTTAGCAGATTTCTCAAATTTATTTATATATTGAAATTAAACATACAGGCAATCGCTAAAATGCTTGAGTTATTTCTTGACACCACTTAAAATTAAACTTGCTTTAAAAGCATGCTGAGGCCAGCGAACAGAGGGAACCATAATTATTTAATTAGCTTTGAATTACTTACATAACTGCTCGCATGAGTGGCTCATTTTAATTTTCCAGTAATTAAAAGCAATTTGATGCAGCTATATCACTTGCCATGTGTAAATGTCAAACATCAAGAGTGCGTAGAATGCTTTCTAAATGAAAAGTTCTCAGGACAAGAGCAAGTGTGCTGCAAGAATCTTTTTATGTGTTTGTGTTTATGAGCTGCTTCAAGCCATTTTGTTGTACTGGTTATGCATATGTACTTTGCTGTTACGGAAGGCAAGCTTATCACATGTGCTAATTACACAAAATAAGGAGGGGCTAACAAAAGCACCAGAGGACAGTAGCAGTATCTAAGATAATCTTAACAAATAGGAGAGGTAGGCCAAATTTTACCAAAGAAATTTCAGCCGGTATAAGTTTAATGTGTTGGTGCTCCCAAAACATGAATGATTCCTGTGCTAAATGTGCTAACATAAAGACTAGTGCCATCCTCATCATCAATACTGTCATTTCACAGGAACAGGATGAAGGCAGCTGATATGGCAAGTCACACTTTTTTCCCATTAACATGTTCTGAAGAGGGTGACCAAATGGTCTCAACAAATAGGGAAGTAGGCCCAGATTAAAGATCTGGAAGGCATGCCCTACGAAGATTGATACCTGGCCACTGTAGACGAATTCAAGTCCCCAGGGCCAGATCAATTATATCCAAGAGTATTGAAGGAACTAATGGAAGTCATTTTGGAAACCACTGACAATAATCTTTGAGAGTTCTTGGGGAATGGGAGAAGTCCCAGCTGATTGGAGGAGGGCCAATGTGGTCCCTATCTTCAAGAATGGGAAAAAGGACGACCCAAACAATTACCGTTTGGTCAGCCTCACGTCGATACCAGGCAAAATTCTGGAAAAGATCATTAAGGAAGTAGTCTGCAAACAGAAACAAATGCAGTCATTGCTGATAGTCAACATGGATTTACCAAAAACAAGTCATGCCAGACTAATCTGATCTCTTTTTTTGATAGAGTTACAAGCTGGGTAGATTCAGGGAATGCTGTGGATGTAGCGTATCAGGATTTCAGTAAGACCTTCGACCAGGTCCTCCATGACCTTCTGGCAAACAAACTAGTCCAATGTGGGCAAAACTATGGTTAGGTGGATCCGTAATTGGTTAAGTGAACGATCCAGAAGGTGCTCACCAATTATTCTTCTTCATCCTAGAAAGAAATGACGAGTGGAGTCCCGTAGGGTTCCGTCCTAGACCTGGTTTTGTTCAACATATTTATTAATGACTTACATGAAGGGCTAGAAGACATGATCATCAAGCTTGCAGACGACACCAAATTGGGAGGGATAGGCAATACTCCAAAAGACAGGAGCAGAATTCAAAATGAATAGATTAGAGAGATGGGCCAAAACTAATGAAATGAAGTTCAACAGCAAGATACTCCATTTAGGCATAAAAATGAAATGCAAAGATACAGAATGGGGGATGCCTGGC